AATCACCCAAAACATGCCTTACTTTTGTCCGTCCTTCTCGTCTCCATCAAACTGTTGTTTCCCTCAGTGGAACAATAACACACTGCTCCTCCACTTCCACTGCAGCACCTTGATCAAGGCCAAGAATCGAGCTCATCAGTCCCTTTCAGGACACCGTGACCCTGTCACTGTTCAAGTGCTGATGGATATCATCAGACAGGAAGCCGAGCCTCGTAATGATCCTAAAAAACACAGGAATAAGTAAATATCAGTGTGCCTGTAATTCCTGCACTCTGTTCAGAACATTCTTCACATCTCACCAACAACATATGTTGTAGTGTTGTTAAAGCTCAGCATAACAACTGTATCTGTTCACCACAAACAGCACTGTGTGGGTGTGTTTGTGTTTTTATGTTACACTCACAACAGGAAACTCACTGTGGTGAACAACGTGTACGGCCCTGTCAGGCTTGACACGTGCACTGAATTAATGGTGTGTGTGTGTGTGTGAGTGAGGGTGTACAGCCACAGAATGTGTACAAACTCCAAGAGGCTAAAAAAAAAAAAAGACCAAGATGCATCGAGCTCGTTCCAAGACAAACATCTATTTAAATACATGATGAGAAGCAGAACAGTAGTTTTAATCACAGCGTGATGTCACAGTTACCAAAACAAGACAGAAACGAAAAGACAAACAGATCAGTTAATACTTATCTGCACTAATTATGACAGTGGGTTTCCTCATCAGTGATGTCACCAAAGTACAGCATACTGTAAATGTATTTTTATTATGGGACCAGCAAGGAATAAAACCTCGGTTTTAGAATATTCCTAGAAAACAATAGCCATTATCTTCAGTCGCAGGGAGCGCTGAGACCTCGGACCACTGACCCTACTGCAGAAGAGTAAGGGTAGGGGGAGAAGGTTTATTTAATGGTACACGTCCCAGCGTGTTGTTCCCAGTGAATTTCACCACAGGCCAGAACGGGACAGGGACGGGAATGTGAGCTAAGATCATGGATGTGACATTTGGCCCATACTACAGTAGACTCATCTAAGTCTTTCATGATCTACAGTATTACTGACATCAAAATATTTGTGAAGTGGGGGGAAAAAAAACCTGAAGCCAAGACCTGAGTATTTAATATTCAGCCACTTGTCTTTTCTTGTCGAACGCCTGTGCAGCTCTCAGTTCTCCACTATTCTGAGCTCTGACTGCAACACAATACTGCATAACGCCATTCAAGCTTAAGAACTTCACACACATCGGTGCAAACACGCAACCTTTGAAAGTCATCTTGACTCATCACTCGGCTTCATTTAAGTGGCATTACACACAAAAAAAAAAAAATACAAATTATTGAACTGTCTGAACCCAAAAAAGTACAAGTCATGATTTGTTTTGCTGGAAATATCACACTGACTCAGTGTGTATGTGCCAGAGGAAGATATCTCATTTCTGTGTGTTCACCTTCATCAGTCCATTGCTCTGCATATTACGTGTAGGCCCAGCTCGGCACTGCCCTCTACTGGTCAGACATGCAGGCAGACCCTGGGTCGGAATAACAGCACTGAATGTTGTTTTCTTCAAAATGTCCACTTTTTGAAGTCGTCCTGTGTTATGGTATTATTTCACTTGCAAAAGTAATCGTTGTTCTCCTTTATGTAGGTGGTGGGAGGTGACAGTACCCTGAGGGCTGAATGATGCCACCATGAGGCCAAGAGGTGAAAGGTCCAGAGGTGTAGTCCAGAGGCTGGTCACTGACGGTGGCCTGTTGGCTGGTGTCAGGCTGGATGTCGTCCGTCTTCTCTGGACAGTTCTGTTCCCGCTCAGCCGTGTGGTGTGTGTGTGTGTGTGTGGTGGTTGACACCACGTCCTGTGTGGACCTGGAGGTGGTGGGGTTGGGCAGGAACACGTAAATCCCCGTGTTAGGGGCACGATTTACAGGACACGTGGAGTGATCCAAGTGGGGTTTAGTTTCTTCCTCTTTACACTTGATGTCCACTGACTCAGGAGCGTCGGACATCCACAGGTCGGACTGAAAACCCTGTCAGAACAATAATAAAATAATAATTAAAAATCACCAAAATTATGCTTTATTTTAATGAAGTGAAATACTTCACTGCAGTCCGATTAGAATTTGATCTCGCCGTTGCTGTCATTAGCATCCAGACGCCAGAGTCAGTCAGCCAGTCTGCGTCAGTGACCGTCCGACTGGACAGAAGACGTATGGAGGACGTGTCAGAGGTGCTAACCTTCTCAGGAGGGGTGAGGGAGTTTTCATGGCTCCAAAAGCCATCGTCTGGCTCCGGGGACGTTTTCTCGATGGACGTCGGTGTCCAGAGAGAGGAGTCTGAGGAGCTGCAGGGGAGACAAATGCTGTTTCTGCTGCCGTGGCCTTTGGTCAAAGCTACGATCTCCCTCTGCAGTGTATGACTGGAGGAGGCCTGAGACACAGAAACACACACAGGTTAACGTCATCGCCGGGTGGAGTGGATGAAATGAAAAACCCGATCACGGTGCTGTTTTCACCTGGATCTCAGAGAGGATTTTGCTTTTGCCTGGAGAAGGAACTGAGTCCACCCACAGAACGATTCTCCTGGTAACAAGACACAACAGAGTTCCTTAGATTTGAACCTGGCCTCACACAGACAACACCGCCGACGTCATAAATATGCAATAAAACTTCAACACATTTTTTTGGCAGCGCACTTGACTTTACAAAGTTAAATATCGAAGAACCCTGGGGCCGAGGTGCGGGCACCGTCTAGAGAGGTGATAAATAACATGGTCTGAGACCACCATGTGAAAATACCTTTTGCAGAGTGGAAAGGTGAAGAGAGTGAAAAAGGCTGTGATGATGAGCACAGAGATGAGAACAGATATCAGTGTGCTGGGGGACCAGGTGGCTGTCAGGGGAGGAAAACAGGGGAGAATGATGATGTTTTCAATCCTCTGGATTTAATCTCTCAGACTTTTCTCACAAACACATCAAGTTATTTTCGACAGGAAATATGCGTCTGGGAGACTGTGAAAACATAGTACCTGCGTGAGATGTCCACTCCACGGCATCAGTCCACTCAGACGGAGGTCCCTCGTACCTGGAGCCAGACCCTGGGACAACCAAGGATCTGACCTTGACCTTGTAGAGCTGGGACGGAGTCAAAGACTCTGCGTGGAGGATCAGGAACAGGGAACCGTCTGAGATGTTCACCAAGGTGGAACATCCCTGTCAACGACAGGTGGAAGTGACTCCCGTGTACTGTTGTATACATTTGGTTAGTTATAAATGTTGAATTTTAGGTTCATGTAAAGTTCTCACCTGCTGCAGGGAGTCGTAGTAACAGACCTGATAGAAGAGTCTGACTTTGGAGGCTGTGCTGGGTTCAGTCCATTCAACGATCCAGCTGCTGCTGCGTTTCTCCCTCACCTTTATCTGCCGCGGTGGCTGTGGACGAACTGTAGAAGGAAGCATTATTTACTGCAAATAAAATACTTCACTTTTTCTATTTTCAATTTCACTTTTTCTGACAAATTTTGTTTTATGGCTTGAAAGTAATGATCCAATCCCCACTGATTCATGATCTCTATTATTCACAGACTGAATTCATTCCACTTTAACTTTACCAGTGTGTTTGTGACCTAAGACACGTGATCTATGACACAAAAAATATTTTGTTAAATGATTGGTTACCTCATTAAATCACATCAGTGACTCTGTGAATAATTTAAACAAACTATGGTTTAAACCAAGGGTCTTAAACATTCTGGCCAATGAGAAGTTTCATTTTGTCCATGTCCAATAATTTTATTTAAATGCTTCAATTGGTCATTTAAGAACGAGAGAAAATATTTATATAACCTGTGGTTTTATGCAGTAATTATATAATAAACCCAATTTAATATCTGGATTTTTGTATTGAACATTGAACGCTGAGTTTGACCCGTTTTAGACAATCAGAGGTGCAGTAGTGTCTCTATGACGCTAGATGGAGACAGAAAAACATCAACACAGCTTTGCAGGCTGGCCTGCTGCAGTGGTATGTTTTATCCCCCCCCCCCGACTGTCGTGTCCACTCACTGTGTTGGTGGGCCTTGAAGGTCTTGGCCATGTGCGTCGGTAGAAGCTCCAGCAGCAGCTGTGCAGGGTCGTGGGCAGACAGTGAGCAGCTGTACTTTACTGATGTGCTTTGGTCAGCAGTGACGGTGGGAGTCGTGCAGCAGCTCTTGGGTCTGGAAGAAGGATTTTTTTTTTTTTTAAAGAATCAACCGTAAATGAAGCTGGTGTTTCATTCAGCCTGAAACAGGTGGTGTTGTCATCATCACACGTGACTCACGGTGCAGTCTGGTTGCGTCGACAGACCAGCTGGTAGGTGATGAAGGTGGCCCGCTCTCTGGTGACCTCCCAGCTGCAAATGACCTCCCTCTCTGTGACCAGCACGCAGTGTAGACTGGGTAACTGCCCAGGATCTACAGCCGAAGACAAAAGAGAGTCGGAAAATAATCCACAGAATCAGGAACAATCACCAAACCCGACTGTGTTCCATGACTCACCTTCTTTATTCTTCCAGGTCACAAGGGGGCTCCAGTCGCTCCAGTGACCCACGCTGACCTTCACCCCCACCCTGGCTTCATATCTGTGGCCTGGAAGCAGCAGTTGTCTTGGTAGTTTTACCTGAGTATTTCTGACTTCCACCGTCTGCAGAGAGAAGCCAGAGAATGAGGAGATTTGAGTTCTTAATTCATTTAGTCCAACATTAAATGAATGTACCTTTGTGTTTTTTAAATGATAATTGAGAGTATCTTTTATCTAATCTTTAATCTCTACATACTTATTCTATGTTTTTAAAATATCACAGAACAAACCATCAACCAAACAAATTTATTTTCCTATAACTGTATGATCATTATTATTTGAGTGTACTGTTATCATTAGGAAGAAATATTAGCACCTGTACGGAGTCTGCCGAGTCAGATTTGATAAATGCGCCAGCAACTGCTAAAATGATAAAATGTACTGTGTGTGATGAATTACTGTGTAATATATTAGAATGAGCTGCTTATCTGTGTGAGTTATATTTTTCCTATTTAATATGACTTTATTATCAGGCCAAACATTTATAATAAGTTTAAGCTAAATACAGTGTTATAATAATGAGCAGCGTGTATGAATGCTCACAGTCCAGGTGTCTTGTTTGACAGATCTGTAGCTGAGCTGGTAGCTGAGATTCTTGCTCAGGGTGGAGGAGGCGGAGTAGGGACTGGACCACGTCAGACATCGGCCTCCGTCACCTGGATCATGACTGGACACATTCACCGGTGGATGTGCTTTCACTGCGTGTGTATCACAGGCACAAAAATATACATCATACATGTGTAAAGTCACGCAGCTCAGTGACTCAGTTCTGTATTCAGTCAACTCCTGTGATAAACATGTCAACTCACGGTGATGAGAGAGAGACACGGGCCTGTGTGTGACGGACGAGCAGAGACTCTGCATCTCCTCGTTCAGGAAGAAGACGGTGTGTGTGATACCGATGGCAAATGAACCAGTTTGGTATCTGCACTGTGTGAAGCCACGATCGTCCGGTGCACGGTAGGGGGCGCACGGTTCGCTGTAAGGACACACAGTTTGCTGTAAATACTTAAAAATATTTTTTGTTTTAACTCTTGCGAACTGTGTTTTACCTGTCCTTCTCCGTCTTGAACCGGAGCTGCAGCGGAGCGTCTCCATCTTCTCTCCATCTACAGTGGACGTAGGACTCGTAGTTGTTGTGACACTCCAAGGAGTCCAGGACAGGAGAAGCTGGAGGAGAGGTTTAGATTTTTACATTCTACACCAAAAAGCTGTCATAGATTTTTTTTATGTTCTTCAAACATTCAGTCGACTACATGGACAACAGCTGACTGATGATATTGAATGAATTTTTATAGAAATAAAACAAATAGTCTAATATCAGCTCGACTCGTGAGATCTGAATACGAGTGCTTTCTTTTCCCTTCATGTCAGAAAACTGAATCTATTTTGTTGGAGGAGAAAAGCAAAACACTCCAGGACAGCAGCATTTTAACATTTATACAGTAAGATCAAAATGGTTTGTCAATTTTGGACTGGTGTAAATAACTTATTATTTAAAAAAATAAATCAAGTTATTAGTCTGTGTAAATATTTTAGCAACACAGTCCTCACATAGTGAGAAGTGGCAGTCAAAAATGTGAGCACAGTGTTTTGGTCTATATTAAATTTGCCCTGTTTTAAATCATTAGCATTGTGTCGTTCACAGTCTGTTGCTCACACAGACTTGTTCATGTGAATCAGTCAGACCCAGAGACCACATTTACTGCAGGAACCTACTGTTCAGTGAGCCGCTGCTCTCATGAATGCGGCAGAGATTTGCATCACAGTGGAGATCCAGAAAGAGGAGCCCCGACCAAAGCACAACCCAGAACAGTGGCATGATTTCAGGCTACAAAAATGATGCCTCTTAGAAAAACTCTGTGTAAAAGAGAGTGTGAGGTAGGGGGAGAGATGAGAGTTAATTTACCAGAAATAACGAAAACATTAGTCACAACAGCAGCAGCAGCCACTTCTGCTTTGAGTGTTGTGGGATGTCACCACACATCCGTCTGTCTCTTATCATTCTCTCTCACATGTCTGTTGCCCTGATAAAAAAAAAAAAATTTACACACGCGCTGTCACTGGGGATCGAACACACAAACACACACACGCCTTCATTTAAAAATAAATCATCAGTGTAGTTAGTTCCAGTTATCAGGTTATTTTGTGACTCCATTTTAAAAAGCAGCCAAAGACCAAGGGCTGAAGGAAGGAAACATTTCCCAAAATTGTGGTTATTGTGAAAACATGAACTCCAATAAGCCACTAATAAAAGCATTGGTAAAAACAAGGGATGTCCGATATCAACTTTGTTTGTTTATCTGTAGAAACCACTGTGTTGTGTCGCTGCCACCAGCATTCTGCATACTATCCCCTGATTATTAAAATAGATTAATAAAATGAGCTGCAATGCTGCCATCTAGTGATTTTCATAGTGACTTTAATATAAAGTTGTTTATCCCTAAAAATATTTTTTGAGCACACATCATTTGGCAAAACCCAGGCTTTTAGGTTTTCATTATCAGATGAAAAACCAATACCAATTCTTACTGATATTTCATAATCATGATAATATCGGTCGGCCAACGTTATCGGAAATCCCTAGTTTTAACAGAACAGACAAACACCCACATAAAACACCAGGCTGATAAACAAAAACAAAAAACCAAATCATTCCAACTATTAATCAAAACCTAAACACCTTACAAACCTGGTTGAATAAAATAATAATAATTAGAAACTAAATACTAGCATGTTTAACGATAATGACAGCTATTTATAAATATGAACAAAATATTAACAACATTATTTCGCACAATCCTGAAACATTTTAAATCTTTTTCACTCTCAAAACAAAACAAGTTTGGAAACAGAGAAGAAAACTGAGCAGAGTTTGGTTCTTTCAGCGCAAAAATTCAAAAAAGGGGGGGGATTTTGAGCATAGTTCTGTGAACCCTGTGCCAGGGAAAGCCCCCCATGTGGAATAGATGAGAATCCAATAACCCTCTCACTCAGTGTGTCGTTTCATGTGGTGCAGCACGTAGAGGCAGCAGAGCACGGTGATCTCTCTATGACAGTTCAGTGCAACGAGGTCAAACGGTCAGAGAGAGATTCAACCTCACATACAGATGTAAAAGATGTCAAAATAAGATGCAACTGATACTTTAATATCTATAAATCTTATTATTCTAAAATGTTTTCAAGATAAGATTAAATTCTCTGTGATATATGGTGCCGAGAATATATAATTTAAATATTACTTTGCCTAACCTATTTTACCATCAGCTCTGAGGAAACAACAATCATCAGATATATGTATATATATATATATATATATATTTATATTTATTTAAATACACATATATACTTATATATGTATATATATATGTTTATTTATATATATATAAATAAATATAATAAATAAATACATACATATATGTTTGGATATATGTATATATTTACAAATAAATAAACGCCGGTGTGAAACATACACCCTTGTTGTTTGTCTCTCAGTTCTGGCAAATACACAAAAACATTTTTTGTCATATTTAGGATTAACAATTTATCAACATCGAGTAATCATGATTAATCAAATGCTACTGTGTGATTAAAATTTGTTACTTTATTACTTGTTAAAGATTTTAATCAACTGACGGCTCCAATAAAAAGATAAATACATCTATTAATATATAAATACATATTTCAATATATTTATATACATATAAATGCAGACTACAGCCAAGGTTACACATATTTCTACAATATCACCAGGTAAGATGTAGACCTCACCCCCAACTCACCTGCCTCTGTCTGTCTGTCTGCTGATTTTCTCGTCAGTCGGCGCCTCGTCAACTCTGTCGAGAACTCAGTGGGCGTTTCCTGCCCCAGTTTCCTCTTTCTGTCCACTGTAAAATCAAACAAATGATGACGTTTGAGCTTTGACTGCACAATCAGCTGTTACTCAATTGCGTTCTCCAGAATTCTTTCAGCAAACTCTGATTCATTCAAATGTTTTTAGTTTTATTGGTCGACACAAACCGAAATCTTCTGTTGTTGTTCAGGAAGTAAAGAATAGAAAGAAATAGTGGCTTAAACGTTTATGAATTCTAATAAATTTCACTTATCATATTAGAAAAAATCAGGGGAAAAAAAGGAGTGAAAACCTAATTTTACAAATTATTGTTAAAGTGCCTCCTAGCTGCTGTAAGGCTAAAGTTAAAGGCACAGGTCGCTCATTTACAAGGCCAGAAGTGAAGAAAACAAACATTTACACTTACCTTTACACCGACGGACAGTTTTGATTCTTCACTTTCCTGACGTTCAGATGTGGTGGGCTGTGTGAAGAAGACGAGATAGTCACAGATCACAGTCAGACTGTACAGTGCTAGAATTTCTCCTCCACTTAGGTAACAACACTAACCACAATGTGACGACAGAAATAGTAACAGTGGTTGATCTACGTGAGATAAGGAAACAGTTAAAGGAAGCCACTGTTCAGATGTTTCATCCAGGCCTGATAAAATCACAGACGGTCAGATCAACAACAGTACTGCATCATCTCAGATCTTAGGACTTGGTTTAAATTTTTTTGGCTGAAAGTGACTTTAAACACCACAACCACAAAGACTCAGACGAGGTCTGTGAAGGTGGTGCAACAAAGATAACAAAATCGATTTTTTTTCTTCAATGGAACAGTTACTGACAAAACAATCACAACATCCATAATTCTTCATCCTGATTTGCTGCAGCCTACAGAGCAAAGGTTTATATTTTAAAGAACTGGCATCACACTAATCTAAACTTGAGTTCTCGGCCTTTCTTTTTAACCCAGTTGCCAGTAAACTGTTACATTCATACACACAATTTAATTTCACTTTTGAGGCCGTTAAGATGAGAATAGTTTCTTGTCTTAAACTTCCTTTTTTAATTTCAAAGAATGAGGAACCTGAACTTTATCTGCATATCAGACCCTTGAGATCTGTTGGTTTCAAACATGTAGTGTTTAGCGCTGATGCTAATGTAGCATTAGCTCTCACAGATAACTTCCTCTACAAAGACGTGTTATAGTAATATTTATTCTGTTTGGGCCAAAGCGACTCCGTTAGAAAAGCTCAAATATTGTCAATTTTAACTGTTTACTCGTCAACATTATTTACACGTAACATAAAACAGCAGTACAAATAAAGAACGCTACATAAATGCCGACGCAGAGTTTACCAGGCTTCTCGACTTTACTATTTCAACCTCAATTCCTCCACCTAGCGGCTACAAAAAAAACAGCCCTAGAGTACTTACGGTAATTACCTTATATCATATAATAATCAAATCAAATTCATTAATAAAATAACACATGTATTTATTATGCTGCTTGCATGCTCTCCACTGCATCAAAAAAGTTTTTCTTTAAACATTATCATGCCAAACGTTAGCCATATATAAAAGTCTGAGCTGATCCTGCAGACGCTGTTCATCATGTTCACTTCTTTGTATATGAAAAATGAGGAAAAGTGAGTCATGCTCATCTTTGTAATTCTTGCCATGCACCTCTGTCTGTCTGCATTGGAAACTGACAAAAACATTTTTTTTCTAACTTAAAAATAGCTCGTTGTTGAATCAGGGACATTTTGAAAAAGTCTTTTATTTGGCCACAGTCCATTTAAAATGAAGCAAGGTTGGTCCGAGTGGTTCTCCACATTCTCCTGTAACTTATGAAATTAGTAGATGTTTCATTTTAATTTTTTTTCTTTATTTTAGTGTTTGGATAAATGATAAAAGCTCTGTTTATGTTGACAGTTAAATATGAAGTGGAAAAGGAAAAATAAAGAGAGAGAAATGTCCTGATGAATCAATATTTTTTTTCTACTCAGTCCAATTAACAAATGTGGTTATAGAAAGGCGGGATTAATTACTATTTGTACAGGCCATGATCTGAAGGAATGGACCGGCTCTCAGCCCGATGACCTACAGTGGAAAACTCCCGGAGGCTAATGAGAACGTAATGTATTATAATGAAATCAATGGGAGAGAATGAGGGAGGCGGAGGTGGAACAGAACAGAAGGGAGAGACTCTATTATTGGTCGGTATCTCGGTGCAACGTTTATGTTTCGTACCGACCATTTGTTTAAATCTCTCTTCGTAAATAGTTTGGATGCCAGCGATAGTAAATGTTGCAGCTTTGCTAAAGGATGTGTTTGACATACCTGAGGGTGGGTCGTTTAACTCAGCTTCAGTCCTAACCAGAAATAAATGAGGAATGCAAGCAGGCCAGTGAAGGGCTCTGACGTCACAAAGAGAGACTGGAAGAATTTCTGTAGAATTCTGTGGTGTTTGTAGTTTGCTAAAAAGAAAAAGAAAAAGAACAACAACAAAAAACACTTTTAGCTACAGGAAAAATAGTCAACTTTTCTTTCACCCACACTTTGCCCCCTCCTACACACTGCTGCTGGTTTAGTCAATAGTTTGAAAGTGTTAATCGATCATACAGGAAGTGAGAAGAAGAAGAAAAAAAAAAAAAAAGAGGCCTTGAACTTTGTGACGCTGCTCCTGGTCTCCTCCTCTATTTTTTACACTCTCTACAGCCAGATTTTCATGAGCATTAATTAGTCCTTTAGCTCAACCTGTGCTTTTGAGCTCAAACTAAAGCAGAGGTACTGTACATGCAGCAGCGTGTGAGGTTCTTCCCCCCTCTCTGTCTTCCTCCCCCGATGCTACTCGTACAAATCCAATTCCTGCACACACAGATATTCAGGATAGTCTTGGTCTCAGCGGTGAATCGAGGAGCAGCACATTAGAATGTGGTCAAAAACACATTACACTTAAACCCTGGGTCTTTTTTTTCTTCACTCCCTTTTTTCAGGGATTGTGTGTCTTCTCTGTCAGAGTCGATAATGGGTTTAAAACCTTAGTTTTATTAAGATTTGGACTAAGAATTCTGGATTGGTCCCTCGTCAGCTCCACTCCTGCTCACAGAAACAGATTCTCCTAGTCCCTCGTCAGCTCCACTCCTGCTCACGGAAACAGATTCAACACATCTATGCCGTTACAGGCCATTTACAGAGGTGTGTCTGATACAGCTGCAGGTCGATGCTGATGAAACCTCCAGAGAACATATCTGTGGTAACGCTACGACCGAAACACGACCTGGAGTGAAGGGAAACACATTTATTCAAAGACACATTTGTTCTTTTTATGCTTCTCTAGTTCCGTGGAGGAAGTGAACTGTGGCCACGGGGCTTTTCATTTATGAAGGGACTATTTCTTTATTTTATCAGAAGCATGTATTGAGTGACCACTGAGACCCTCTTTAAGGTGAGGGTCCACATTTATATATTTTTCCATCCTGGAGTAAATCCAGCCTGAGGTCAATGTTCCCATGATCCTCTGTTGTTTACTGTTCCCTTTTCTTTTGTGACCAGCGTTTTATAAACTTCAGTCAACCTTCGCGTTTCCTCCCGTCATATTTGCCCCTCTGTCTTTTGTTCCTTGCGGCACCTCAGGTAAAGTTATTGCCTCTATAATAACTGCGGTAGTAAAACGGAGCGCTGCCAAAACAGGATTGGATTACAGTGTCACTGAATAAATAGAAAGACCGTGAATATAATTGTGTCCAAACCTGTCGGTCTGTGACGGCCTGACAGGATAATCAGAGTCCAAAAATGAAGATGAATTATTTAAAGGTCAGTAAATCAAAGGCTGCACAAACACACTTGTTTCTATCGTATTATCCTGGACTTTTTGACTGATTAAGTCTACCTCACCCTCTACCTCACCCTTTTCACTCATCTATATCAGTTCTCTCATCCATCCATCACGTCCTCCTCCTCCCAACTTTCCTCTCTTCACTCCCTCCACCTCCTGCTCTGTCACACCGTCCAATCCCCTCCTATCCCAATCCAGTGCAGCCTCACTGTCTCCCTCCCTCTCCCTTTATCTCTCCCTCTCTCTTTCTCCCCTTCATCTCACCTCCAGCCAGCCTATTCACTCTCCTCCTCCTCTTCCTCCTCCTCCTCCTCTACCTTCTCCTCCTGGATCACACAGCCCGCCTGCTTCCGTCCACTTTATCTTTTCCCTCTCTGTCTCTTCGAACCCTCTCAGTCTCTCTCTGCTGTCTCTTGTCTTCTGACTCTTTTTCTTCTTCTGTCTCTCTTCTTTTCTCTCTGTCTGTCCTCCACTCCTCTTCAGCCCCAGGAGCTCGGAGGCTCGAGGCTCTTCATCGAATCACTTAGGATTCAGAAGCACTTGGGACAAAGATTCTCTCACTGGAGGTAAATGTTTTCTGTGTTTTCTATGTGTTCATGTGTGTGTGTGTGTGTGTGCGGTGGTCATCTACCTCATATGTCAGTCACACAGACAGATGCTGTGCTGTTATTTGAGAGTGGAATAACTGTGGAAACAGGCAGGACGGTGGTGATGAGTCAGTGAAAAAGTGCGAAGGAGAAAGAGAAAAGAAAGCTGTTCTGATGCAGCAGTGCATCGAAATGCAGAATTTTCAAACGGCACAAAAAGAGTCAGAGAGTTCAAGAGGAAGAAAAAGAAAAAGAGAAAGGAACAAGACCAGACATGAGCAAAGTGTGAGAGAACTGAGAGAAGAAAAGAAGAAGAAGAAGAAAGTGAAGAGGCGGTGCTGATGTTCTCCTCAGTCACAGATGAATTTCTACAAAAAGAACGCTGCCTGCCTCCTGCCTCCTGCCTCCTCCTCCTTCTCTCCCGTGGAAATCCCATTCACAAACAGGACCTGAAAACAGGAGCTGGTGATTGGTTCGCCGGACACTGTGTCTGTGTGTGTGCTTCATTATGTGTGAGCGCGTGAGAGATGTGGCGGGATGTGAACCCTGTGTCGAGGGTGTGTTCTTGAATGTTGTTCAGATTACACACAAATTGCAGAAATGTTAAGTGACGCTGGAGGTCTTTTAAATTTGCAAAAGCAGAACGTCACTGTGGCGACCATGTGGTGACTTTGCACCATATTTCAGTTCCTTTTTTTTTTTTTAACTCTTTCTTTGTCATTGCGTCATTCTCTGCTGCTTCAGATCGTCATCCCTCTCCTGCCGGAGTCACAATCTCACTGCCATTAACCCTCTGGGGTAACAACATGTACAACCAACCACAAGAGCAGACACATGAGAAGTGATGAAAACTCACAGGATGGGAGTTAAAATCTCAGAGAGGAAAACAATAAATAGAAATTTGACAGCTGGACAGTGACAGTCCTGACAGGGAATGAAAGCATAAAAATACATGTAAATATAAAGGTGGAAATGGAAACTGCTGCTTAATGTGCTTCAACTAAAGATACTAAGATAAGTACTATAAACGATAAATACTAAGATTGGTTTGAAAGTTCCAATAAAAATAATAAATGGTTAATGAATAATTGTAGCAGAGTTTTCCAGTTTCTCTACGTAAATGTAACGGACACTTACTCTGATGAAACCGTGTCGGTTATTGACAGGCTCTTAATGTGGTCATGGATGGATGGATGGATGGATGAACAAAGAGTAGCTTGGCCAGCCTGCAGTCCAGATCTGTCTGTAATTGAAAGTTAATGGCAGGTTAAACAGAGGAAAATCAACATGTGATCACATTCACCTTAGATTCTTTAAATATTAAGAATTCCTAAATATAAAAATGTAAATAACAGGAAATTCCACTAAAACCCACTTCTTTCTACTTCAACAACAGACAGACTACAGACCAGAACCCAGTCAACACGTCAACCATAAACTTTATGGCCGACCCTCCATTAGACATAAAAGTCAGGGCAGATGTATGATAAAACACCTTCTCCGGAATTCATGGGAATCCAGTGATTTCACAAAGCCAGAGCTCATTGGAGCGTGTAATACTCCGGTCTGATAGAAGGCGACCGCACAAGGTGGCTGTGAGGGAGTAAAAAAAACACAAGAGGAAGGTGCCATAAAGAGTTATAACAGCAAGACCACGATGTTATTGATTTGGTTGTCTGTATTGGATATAAATGTTCTAATTAAGGGCTTCGACTAACTGCAGCTTGAAGTGCTGCTGGATGACGGTTTGAGGAGTCTCTGATGACCGCTCATCCGGAGATGAAGAAGAGGGAAAAAAAACAGTTAGCATCTCTGCGGCGCACATCCCTCCACCACACTGCAGTCATACAAAATAATAGGTTATTACGGAGTTATTGTTGAGGAGAAGAAATCAAGGTTTTCTACCTCTGGGCTATGATCTTACAACAACAGCAACATCCATCCAGCGTCTCTGTCTGCATTTCATAACAAATTAAAAAAGCGCCAACCTCAGCATCGACTTAGTTTTAAAGGCTGATTGGTCATACAGTATATATATAGATATTAACAAATAATGAATCCCCTGCTGGCAGCTGAAGCTCTCCTGCACCAACAGGAGGAAGTCTGCAGGTAGACGTAACCCAACAGGAAGTGACTCCTTTAAGTTGATGAAAACATTTTTTTTAATTAAATTTATAAAATGACAAAAGAAAGAATTTTCAAGAAAGAAAACATTTTTCCCGCTGGTTTCAGATCGTCATCAAATGAAGACTTTTTGATGTGGTTAAACTGTCAGGTTGTACAACCCTGCCCCCGCCCGGTGACTGTTGGGATTGGTAGAAAATAGGTAGAAATGTGTATAATGAACTTTTAGAATTAGCCTCAGTTTTGCCAACAACAGTTCCTGCCAGTTGGTGGCAGTGTCTGTCAGGGGTGAAGTCAGGTGAGAGCAGGACCACTAGGCTAACTCTGTCAGAGATAATCTGCGTTTCCACGTTCCTTCACATCCTCGTCACCACCTGTGAGCCTGTGACGCTCCGCTGGGAGACGATGTTTTAAATGCTGAAAGCATACGGCCGTGTAACAGCGCCCCCTCTGATGAGACAGTCTGGGTAATTAAAACAGTGTTCTGAGAACTGGGACTAAATTTGCATTTGTGCTTAATCAAACAAATGAAAGCACCGAGGGTGTAGCGAGTGTCATTATTGATTAATTACTTTATTTATATTTATTTAAATACCTGACGACGCCTGATGTCTCCGTGGGCGAGACCTGGGACAGATGTTGGACGAGAAACTGTGGAATCTGGAGTGGAGTTTAGAGCAAAATCAGAAAAGAATGACTGAAAAAAAATGCAGATGTGAGGCTATCTCGCTCTGTGTGTGTGTGTGTGTGTGTGTGTGTGTGCACAGTTTATGCATTGAGATTGTTCTGCTGCCTGTGGAGCCTCCCGCTAATATGAAATTAGGAGTGTGAAGTGAATCTATTGAAGCATCAAATCCTGCTGTGCAGCTAATATTGGAATAAGTAATAGCGTTGTCGCAGCCTGTGGTGCTCGGTCAAACTGCGCTCACCTGCCCCTGCGTGTGTGTGTGGCGGTGTTACACACCATCCCGGTGAAGGAGAAAGTCTCAGGTGCTTTGTTGGCCGTTGCTAATTTGCAATATCGGAGTGTCTTGGAAAGCCTGTGGTTTGGTTTTTATGTTTGGTTTCTTCCTCTGTCCTCCAGCTCTTGTCCGTCTTCTCCGTCTCTCTCTCAATGCAGCAACAGATGTGAGGTAATGATGCAAAGACATGCAATCATGAGCAGGTAGATGTCCCTCGGCCCAAACCACCAGGTCTGGTCCACACAGACGTCCTAGTGTTGAAAAAAAAAAAATGGATTAGAAACATTTAGTAGTTTGTTCTAAGGAACTGTGTCTCAGCTAATGTGACATGATTGTGCAAGGTCATCACGACAGTCCATGACTCAGCAGATTCCGACTCCGTGTCGTCTGATTGGCCGACGTAGCCGCCTGTTGTTGATGTGTGTTTCCGTACACCCCTGTCTTTGTTCAACAGCCGTTTTAACCACAGCTGTGTGTGGAGTGTGACTGGGTTTTAATGTTCTTAGAGCCAAGCACTTTTCTGAGCCTCCGGGGAGAACCCGGGTCCGGAGGTTGTTAGAGCGGCTTCAGATGTGTGAGTATTTCAGATGAGGTGGATCAGCTGATGCTAACTTTAGACTCACCGAGGTCAGAGCCCGGTGCAACAGGAGTCAACCCAATTCCAATTAGGAAACAGTGACCTCTTAAATGAGATCATTAACGAAACCACGGTCAAGTGGGACTGGGGGGAGGGGGGCCGAGGAGGAGGTGGGAGGGGGAGGTAGGGCGAGCTAAAGTGGATAGAGACTTACAGTATTATAAATTTAGATCCTGGACTTTTTTTATATAAAAAAAGAAGAAATAAAATGAGAAAAGGATGACGTTGTGACCTATTTTGTCGCAGCCTTTTAAAACCTCTCCATCACTGGAGATCAGAGTCAGATTATAAATAGCTTCTCACTGACCTCTGCACACAGACTGGAATCAGTTACAGCTAAAGGTTAGCTGAGTCTGATTGTACGACTGGGACACGTGACGGTGTCGAAAGTTTGTATTACAGTAAAGTCGCTGAGCAAAGAAACAAGTGACAACACGTGGCTGTGGTGTATGAGTCAGCAGGTCAGGTCACAGGTCACAGCGACTGAAACTAACGCTAGAAGAAACACCGTATAAGTGTAATAGAAGTTTAGAGAATTGACGGAGGAGGAGAGCTGCAGTACTTCATATTGTATTAGTGAAAAGTTCAAAGAACACAGTGTTCTAAACTATGTACAACAAGTAAAGTGCTTTCATCCATGAACGATACAACTTGACTTTTACAGCAGCATCTGCTCTGACAGCACAGCGGTGTGAAACTGGTGAGGGAAACAAAAACCACCACTGTAGCGAATCCATGCTACAAACTGATAAAAAACAACAACAGTACTTTCCCCAGTACTAATACTGTCCAATTATGACACAATACGGGGCATTATTATATATACAGATATATATATTTTCAAAATTCAATTCAATCGGACAATCGACGTTTGAAGACGCAGTTTTGGACTGATGATGTGTGTGCGCTGCCCCCTTGTGATCGGCACTTCTTCAGTATATGAGCTACAACTCAGTAGTTCCTCTCAGTGTTTGGCTTTTCTTTGTGTGAACAAAGATATTCTGTCAAAACCTGACGTACTCTCCCACCCCTGCCCCCCGCCCCCACTCTCTCCACTCACTGCTCTCTTCTCATCATTTGTTAAAAAGACCACCAACCTGCAGTGCGTGCAGAGCACTTGATTGCAGGGGTGTCAGAATGGTCACGGGGAACAGAGGCAGAGTGAGTCTGTACGCTCTCAAAGAGCCCGTCTCTGTGTATGAGCAATCAGAGGTGTGCTGCTGTCACTGCTGCTGCTGTTACTGCTGTTACTGCTGTTGCTGCTGCAGCCTCCACTGCTGTTAAGTGTGAGAGTTTTCTGCTGCAAGGTCAGCGAGAGCTAGCCCCCCCATCTTGTGCCGACTCACAGCAGCAGGATCTGCTGTCAGTGAAACGACAGTATCAGCTGTTGTCGGAGCGGAGCAGGCATCACTCCCGGGGTCAGAGAACATACACACACACACGCTGGCACAGACTGGCACTCGTATGTGTGTGTGTGCTCTGATAACTGCTAGCTTCTCTCCCACAGCACGGCAGCGGCTCTCCTCTGGGGTTATTGATGACTGCTGGAGTAGTGATGTCTGCAACTGAACTGAACGCATCATCAACCAACCGTGAGGATCCACCGTTGATCTAAATTTAGAGCTAAACAACCAGGCACGGTGCAGAAAAGTCATGCGTCCACACAAACACACACGTTGATGGTGTGTGACGGCCTTAATATTAATGGCTGGTTTTTCTTGGGTAAATGCCTCATTAAAAGTAGCAGCAGAAGTAAACCTCTTTAATAATGATTATCATCTCACCTTAGTGCGGTTCGGCCTCGCAGACTTGAGGTCAAACTCTCGTCCCTTGAGAGAAACTAATCAGGCAATAATGTAGGTGAATGCCCCCAAACAACCTTATATCTAATGAATTCAAGCTGTCTCCAAAATGTGCCTTTAACATTCTGTCCTCACCCGCCTCACCGCCTTTTTCCCTCCTCCCTCTCCCCTCAAATCAGGGACATGGACCTGAATACAAATGGTGATTACTTTAGCTTTTGTTATGCAGGTAGGCAGGATAGTGCTGTAAAACATCAGTGGGGAGGAGTGGGGGGGAGTGGGGGGGCAGAAAAATGAGGCGATAAAGACGACGAGGAAGACGACAAAAGATGAAAGACAAGATTGGGGGAGACGCAGAGGAAAAGAGAACGTGTGAAAATATACAGTAAGATCAGACAGAGATGAGACGAGGAGACAGAAGTCAGAAGTTTTATGGTGGATTTAACGACAAAAAGAACCTTCTACAAAATGATGCAATGCTGACCAGAGGCAAGAACGACACTGAATCACTGAATCACTGCAGGAGGAAAAAAAAACTTGAGTCTGATCCTCATAAAAATGGACACACTGAATCACTGCAGGAGGAAAAAAAACTTGAGTCTGAGTTGGTCCAATCAAAGTCTTTCCATGTCCGTATTTTATGACGCGGCACCAAACGTGCTCAGTAAAGGCCGACGTTCTTCAGTAAAACTGGGCATAAACACGTTTTCACATATTGCTTTATCAAACCGCATTGTCACAAAAGAAGCAGATAAAGAGTGGAAGTCAGGTAGAAATTCATTTTGGGTTTTACTTCCTCCCCAACATCCGAGATCTTTTATATTTTCGCTGTCGAATCTCTTTGTGCTCAGCGTGCAGATGAGGATGAATTTTCCCAGCGGAAAAATGTGCTCGACTGTGATTTACATTTATTTTCACCCATGACTGACCAAAGTCTTTTCATTTATTTGCCATAATTTAATACTTAACAGTTGTGACTCACCGCCAGACAGTTCCACTTGGAGTTCACTCCGAGTCACGAGTGGCAGATTATCTGGAAGGAAAACAAGAAGCAGGAAACAGCACGTCAGTATCAAATGACTATAAATACTTTGGTCGCATCAAAATTCAGGGTTCAACTTCACTGTATGATTTAATGTATTGGCACAGACTGACGGCCAATCCAGCCAAAGTTAGTTAAATCCCCAGGTTTGGACGACGACGACAGCAGCTTCATTTACACTTCATAGAGCCTCCAAAACTTATAAAGAGATTTACCAATAATTATGACCTTGTTGCAGTATTTCTATGGACCTCATGAAGGTCTCGGACCCTGTATTGAATAACCTTACTACAGAAGTCAACGGTCACTGTGAAAGATTTGTTTGATGACCGTCAATAATCAAAGAAAATAAATAATAAATTAATTGAATTCCTTAATTCTTCCCACGTAGTTCCCCTGGGATTCAAACCCAAGACCTTCTGCATCTAAGCATTATAGAATTTTTCACAGCTTCGACCACAGATTGATGCATGTTTTTCACCTTATTCATTCCTTTCAGGGGAAATCTAGGGTTCAGTACTTTTTTCCATAACAATGCTAAGCTGCTAACTTTATCTTTGATTATGTTAAAAAAAAAATGGATGGTCGACTAAACTAAGCCTGTTGGGAGCCACTGGACTAAAGTGTTCCATTTAGCTGTGATTTGATTTTATCGGCTGCAGCAGAAGCAGCTCCAACCACCACAGACAGTTCCTGCTGCAGCTGCCTTCATCTGAGGAACTGGATTTGGGGCAAATCTTTTATCTGCACGAACCAAAAGCGTCTGTGTGAAACGTGCCTGGAGCAGAACACAGTGAGTGTTTATTCAACAACAAAGGCCAGATCTGTGATGCAGATAAATTAAGGCCACTTTTATTGGTAAGTTTATCCTGTTCCTGCTGCAGAGTTTATGTATTCAGCCCCCAAAAAACATTCATTAGAATCTAGAGAAACGCATCATCGTGTCACGAATGCCTTCAGTGAAGGCTGCAGAGGAACAAAGCAGCATAAAACATGAAGAAAATGTAGTGGAAAAAGAAAAAAGAGAGAGAAAGAACAGAGGTGAAAGTGCTGAGCGTTATGATTGTTGGATTGTGAAGTTGTTCAAATGTCTCCGTGGCTTCAAGTAACAGTTGAGATTGAAAAGAGAGAGAAAAAAAAATGAAACAACGTCTTTTCTCTGACCTCCATTTAGTCAAGGTTAGACGTGTTTGTGTGGGTTTGCTTTAAGTGCCACTCCAGCCACAGAAAAGTGCAAACAAGCAGCGGCACAATCGACGGCTGTCTCGTTTGATTTGACGATTTCTTCAAACGAAAGCTGGAAAACTGGAGTCCGTCACTGGAGAAGAGTCGAGGGGAGAAAAAACAAACAAAACAAAAAAACCAAAACAAAACCATAAAACCAAAGCCTTACATCACACTGCTGTAAGTCAGCCAGGCATGACCAGGACTGCAGCAGTAACTGCTGGGAAGACACAAGGTTTTCGCACACACACACAGACTAAAATATTCATTACATTAAGCAAACTAATGCATATTTCAAAAAGGAAGTATATTAGGATTATCAGGACTTTTTCTCTGCTGCAGTTAATGAGTAAAACTGACTCTAGTTACTAAAGTCTGTTCTTTACATTTAAATCGACTTCATTAACTATTCATTTATTCATCCATCTTCTACGGCTCAGTCCTTTCAGGCAGCAGGGGGAGCCGGCGAACACTATGAACGGTTAACCAGTTCTGGCATGTAGATAAAGAAGAGATAAACAACCATTCACACTCACATTCACACCAAGGGTCAGTTTAGATCGATACATGAACCTGGTTCTCAATCTGAGGAACACAATAACTGCGGAGCCAAGATGGTTCTGGAAGGTTTAACCCTGTAAAGCCTGAGTCATAAAAAAAACATTAATATAGACGTAGTTTAGTTCAGGAGATTTTCTGTATTTTTTTGGCATCTTTTTTTTGTAGTTCAGGAGATTTTCTGTATTTTTTTCTGTATTTTGTTTGGCATCGTTTTTTTTCCTCACTACAATTTTCATTTTAGAGATAAAAACACATTTCATTTTGACATTTTAAAAAACATAAAACCCTTGCGGTGTTTTTTTCCCTCAGACTCTTTATCAGAGTTAAAACTAATCAACCTGGTGTTGCTCACAACTTCGCCCCAAAAAAAACCAAAACCCTAAACTTTGTTTTGTAGTCAACACACAGATAACTGGCCTGGTCCATTATTCTAAGTGTCATCAGGTCTCCGGCTCTGGTGTTTCCATTATCATTACTTAAGAGCCGGTTCCTCAGCCTTGTTTGCAGCCTGACATACGGTGAATCCTCGGCCAATTCCATTTTCTGCTCGGTGGAGCAACAGAGAATAAAAGGACGTCTCAGAGTTTCTTTTCTCTCAACGTGACTTCATTACTCTCCTGCCCCAGTCGGCAGAGAGACAGTGATCTGATCTTCAAGTCGTTAGGAATAATTTCCAGAAAATGACTATGAAGTGGCCGGGCGTGACAGGGCAGGGCGGCTCATCTACATGTCATCACAGGTGTGACGGAAACACCGCGGTTAAACTCCATCCAACAGGACGGCGAACAGGAAGTGTAATGAACCAGGTCGTCGTTGTTTTCCTCGTTTCCTCTGCATCTAAAAACCTTCTCTGTGATAAACACGATTACTTCAAGGACCATTTGTGTTTCTGTGATAAATGGAGTAACTGCGTAAACCGGAGCCTGGAGCCAGAGTCGCACAAATATCAATATAAAAAGTAATTAATTTGTAAATGACTGCTGTAGTAAATGTTTTTCTACACTCTACATGAACAGATTACCTCAGTTCCCACTCAGGTTCAGTCGTTCATCTGTCATTCAGAACCGGTTATCACGGCCATTTTTCCCCCTCATTGAGCCCAGAGGCTAAATTATGATGGCGTAGTTTTGGAGAGTATTGATGATGCTGTCGCCTAAATCGTCTAGAAGAATAAATCGGTTTGGAACGAAGAGCGGGAAGAGCCGAGGAGACGGTGACGGCTCGGCAGAGAACCCCATAGATTAGACGATAGAAGGGAAAATAATTATCGTTATTATTATGTGACAGGCGTAAAAAACATGAAAAGATTGTGTCTGTGTGTTTGTGTGTGTGTGTGTGTGTGTGCACAGACCAATTAGCTTTTACGACAGAGACTGTCTGGCAAAGCAAAAAAGAGTTCTGGACAAAGAAACGTTAGGGCAATGATGGGGATTATGATGGGCTGCCCACTCTGTGTGTGTGTGTGTGAGAGAGAGAGAGAGAGACATCCTCTTCCCTCTCTGGTCATCGTTCAGGGAAACTCACGTGGAGTGGAGAGCCTGTTTGCTGCAGCCAAATGATTCTGCGCCAAAGAAGTTGGAGGGAAACGAGGAAGAGCAAAGAGAGCGGACGTGGAAACAGACGGAGGGAAAATGTGTCTGAAGAGGAGAAGAATGAGTCCGTGGAATTGTTTGTTTAAAGACGCCATAGTTAAGTAAATGAGGTTTAAAATTATGTTTAAAAAAAGAGAAGAGCGAAAGATGGAGATGGAGAGAGGCAGGGAAGGGCGGGCAAATGAGTGTCTGTGGTTGGATGGAGAGGCAGACAGACAGATAATGATGTTAATTTGGGGCGCGGGGACATGTTGTCTCTGGATAGAAACGTAGATGAGCAGCCACATGGACAAATGAAGAGAAGAAAATTACAAGGAGAAAAAAAAAAATTGACAGGAATCCAATTGAGCTGCCAATAAAAATAACAGGCGTGCAGGAGCCGAGCCTGGCACCGCCGCTGACGCTGGATATCTTTGGAAGCGGTCTCTGGTATCAAACGGATAAAAGTTAGACCCAAGGACACACTGCCAGCCAAAGGGAAAATCATCTCTCAGATTGTAGAGTTGGCACCAACCGACTGGTGCATTGTGTGATGACAGCGTACAGTAAGGAGGTTATTTCAGGTGTACAGTGGAGCGCTTACAGGAAGTAGACATTATTCAAACCCAGTTTGGACCAAGGACGTGTCCTTGAATGGTCCACCTGGAACAGAGACATTTTTAGTCTTTATTAGTCTTAATGTAGCTGCTCAGAAATTAACTGTTACTTTTGTCTGACGCCTGCTCTTTATACTGTTATAATCAGTGGACGGATCTGGACTGCAGGCAGGCCGGCAACAAAAGAGCCTTGACTTGGTCATAACTGCAAAATTGAAAGTTCCTGTAGCCCATACAGGCTGCCACAGGAGGCGCCATTAAGTATGTGGTTCCTCTATGGCTCAAACCCAGGACCTATTGCATGTAGGGCAGGAGTGACAATCGCTACAGTATGAATCCTGACAAAACGTTTTAAGTAAACAACACCAAGAGGTTCTGACTTCTCACAGAATCATGGAAGTGTTTTTGTTTTCTTGTTGTCATTGTTGTATTGCATGTAGGGCAGGAGTGACAATCACTACAGTATGAATCCTGACAAAACCTTTTAAGTAAACAACACCAAGAGTTTCTGACTTCTCACAGAATCATGGAGGTTTTTTGTTTTCTTTTAGCAAAGTCATTGTTTAACTATTGACTATACATGAGAAAACGTGTCCAACCCCGGCCCTCACTCTTCACTGGTCTCATTGTGCAGAAGAGCCGCAGCTACTTGACATGCACGGCCACAGCTCCATACTGAGACGCAGCTTCTGATCTTGTCTTGTCTCTTTGCTTAAATGAAGCAGGACATGAAGATGAAATGAGAGAAATAAGAAAGTCATCAAGTGTCCTGCCGTGAGTGACAGCTGCAGACGGACACGCGGCAGAGGAGGGAGGGGCGAAGAAAGGAAGAGAGAAAGAAAAAAATCCAGTTGGTTTTGAGTCTAAAGAAAACTGTGTGTGTTTTGCTAGTGTAAGCAAAAGCAGCTGCGACTGTTTGAAGAGAGAAGTGAGTCGTCCCTCACTGACCTGAAGGTCAGGAATAGAGGAATAGGAAGAGGAATGACAGATCGCATGACATGTCACGGTGCAGTCGTATGATGATGAGCGAGGGGGCGGGGCCTGCTCTCTGATTCCTACACCCTCAAACTTCACTCTCCTCTCACCGTCTCCTCGTCTTCCTCCCCTCTTCACACCTGCTTCATCTGTCATCTCTAATTCTGTCTTTTTACACTGGCAGACCCACTCCAGCGTGTGTGTGTGCTGTAATTCCTGGCAGCTGTTATTAGTGTTGCCGTAAATGCAGGGAAATGTGCAAACTGCTGTTGAATGACTGATAAACTAAATCCTGGTGCAGGGAGGAGAGAGTTCCAGAGGAGTCGACTTCTCTGCTCATTCATCATCTCTGCCGATCTGCCGTCCATCTGCTTTTATATTATCCTCAAGGAAGAGTTTCTGAGGTTGTCTAAAACTGTGAGGAAAGTTTGGTACGGCGCCTCCTGCAGCTCGGTGTGCTGCGACTGAACACACACAAAAACACACTGACACACATACAGTCAAACTGACACGCAGCACTACAGAGTTTTGACGGCACTGGGGAAATAGTATACATACATATATTTATATATCCTTACATTTATACACATATGTACATATACAGTATATGTACACACAGATAAATATATTTATATATAAATATATACATGTTTATGTAGACATATATACATAAATGTGTATATTATAAATATATATATATATATATTTCTTTTCACATACACAGAAAATTAATTTTCTAATTCTGATTCCATCTGCAAAAATAGTGCCCCCTACAGGAGTGGACTTCAGTTTACGTCTGTACTAAGAATTTAAGAATTAAGAAATGTTAAACTGGACTGAGGTCAGTCTCTTTCTGCTTAGTCAATCACGCTTCACGTGCACGAACGTCAGGTTAACGTTTATATTTCCACTTCCTGTGAACCTGCCAGACAGGAAACGAAGACAGGAAGTGGCTCTTCAAAAGATTTATCACCTTTGTTTCCTCATGAATTCACAAGTGAAGCCGTTTGTTCAAAGACTTGGAGACGTCTCACTCTCACCTACTCAATTCCTACCGCACTCTGCAGCAAAATGAACCGTAGTGGGACACCGCGTGAGGCATTAAAATGAAACTATTCTCTCTTTTTGCAGACCATAAATTTCAAGCTAGCCTGACGTTTTCTTGTTATTTTGTGATAAAGAGACTGCAATCGTCGAGCTCCACGGAAGACAAAACGACTCCTTTTTTTAACTGTCAGTGCTGCAGCGTGCAGTGACAGATGAGCCGAGTGCTTTTATCTAATCAGATCATCCTGTGATTGTAGGTGTGCTCTTCATCGTCCAATAAGTCACGCGACTGTGGGGCATTAGCAGGCAGTGGGGCCGTGAACATGACATACTGGAGCAGCAACTAGACTCAGTTATGGAGGCGAAACCTCCTTCAATTGATGATAAGCAGAACCAATGCACTTCAAGAGAACTTCTTTTCCTGTCTGAGCAGCACTAGGAATTATAATTACATTTTATTTTCACTTTTAACTTCCACTTCTACAGGACAATGCCAACCTTTGCTATTATTGTCCCTTCTTTATACTGTATTTTCCGGACAATAAATCACACTTTTTTCATCCTTCGGCTGGGTTTGCGACTTATACTCAGGTGCTACTTATATATTAAAATATATCATTTTATATGTTTGTTATTTTCTCTAGCTGGCTGGTGGGACTTATACTCCGGAGCAACTTAGAGTCAGGAAAATATGATCATCTATTTCATATAATTTGCAGTAATGTCAACCTAAGGTTCAAATAGGGGGGCCACGGGCCAGATGTGGCCCAGAAACAACCTCCCAGAGGCCAAGTTTGGTAGGCATGAAAAATGCAGAGAGAAGCTGAAAGAATCACGATTAACAAACAGTCCAAAATGTCTATATTCCTAGCAGCATAGCATCCACATGTTGTGTGTTGTGTGTAGAAGCGAAAACAACATGTTCAAACACAAGCACAAATACCAGGGATCAAACTACCAACCTTCCTGCTGTACGTCAACAACAACACCCACTCTCCTACTGAGTGGCCCATAGATCCAAACGTTATACTCAGGTGCTACTTATATATTAAAATATATCATTTTATATGTTTGTTATTTTCTCTAGCTGGCTGGTGGGACTTATACTCCGGAGCAACTTAGAGTCAGGAAAATATGATCATCTATTTCATATAATTTGCAGTAATGTCAACCTAAGGTTCAAATAGGGGGGCCACGGGCCAGATGTGGCCCAGAAACAACCTCCCAGAGGCCAAGTTTGGTAGGCATGAAAAATGCAGAGAGAAGCTGAAAGAATCACGATTAACAAACAGTCCAAAATGTCTATATTCCTAGCAGCATAGCATCCACATGTTGTGTGTTGTGTGTAGAAGCGAAAACAACATGTTCAAACACAAGCACAAATACCAGGGATCAAACTACCAACCTTCCTGCTGTACGTCAACAACAACACCCACTGAGTGGCCCACAGATCCAAACGCATTCTAGATTTTGTTAACTTTAATTGGCCTCATTGATGGGAAATATTTTAACAACAGCCCAGTGGAAACATCGACTCAAACTGACTGAGTGCATTACACCCTGAACACACAGCTTGTCTATTACAGGATAACACAGAAAGACAAGTATTCAAATTTACTTCTGCACTCGTGTTAATTCAGAGTCTGAACTAATCTACTCTCAATTTGCAAGACTGTGGATTATGTGAGAAATCCTACAGAAAATCCATGCACAGATGGGAAGGAATTGGAAATTCCACCCAGTGTCGCCCTGAGTCAAATGAGTATTAAAACTGCGAGGCAATAACAATAATTACTATGCTAAGCACTGCTCTACTGTGTAGCCAGATGAAGGATCGTAAAAAAGATATACTCCATAAAATTGTCAGTGCTCAGCAGTCAAACGGGACTTTTTTTCCGCTGCCTTAAGAGTCGATTCCAGGCTGTTGGAGCAGCAGTCTGGTCAGAAAAGACAGAAAATCGCAGGGACGCACAGAGACGTGTTATAGACATGCAAATGTGGAGTTTGTTCCTAAACTCTTCCCCTCCACGAGACATCTTCAGCACTTTGAAGGGTCTTTATCATTGGAGAAGAGTTGGATTCCTCAGTTCTAGAGTTGGTGAAAATCACCGTGTTGGGAAGTGAAGTTGTCTAGAAGGCTGGGTAGTTTTTAAATGATACTGCTTCTTTAAAAAATGGGTTTGAATTTCGAAAAAAGGAAAGTATATTTTTTGGTGAATTCTTAGGTGGGATTGCACCTAAGATTACCCCTACCAACCCTAACTTAAAGTCTACGGGCCATAAGTCTATGAGCACTAGAGCAGAATTACATTTAAAAGATAGAGTGGTGGAAAAGCATGTGAGCGTGGTGAAGTACTACAACATCATGGTGAGGTGTAGATTGGAGCACTACATGGGTTCACTGGGGTCACCGCTGTGACCCCTCATGTGCACTGGTGTCTGTAATTAAACGCTATATTGACTGGTCATGTCTTACCACAAGAAAATCCACCGTTGGATCATCTGTCTTCCTGTGGAGGTTTTCTCCATGTTCATGGGATTTCTTCATGTACTTCTGAAGAGAAAAAAAAAATGCAGGTTGTAGATTAGTTGAAGTTCTTCAGTACTAGACATGACCAACAGGTGTGAAGGTTAGTGTGAATGGTTGATTTCTGATGAACTGAATGAACTTTTCAGGGTGTAACCAATAACTGCTGGGATTGGCTACAGCCCCCTGGTGGCCCTGAAAGGCATTAAGCAACTGTAGGTGATCTATGAAAGAATTATCAAGCAATAATTGACAACACTGCTGACTAGAAAAGACTAGAAAAGCTGTGAGAGATGTAAGACTAAACCTGCAATGCGACTTTTTCCAGTGCACTGCACCGTGTTAGCCTGTTAGCATTGGCCGTGTTGATGGAGCACTAACTTGAAATGATGTGAAGGAGAAGGTAAACCTGTCACTGGAAGGATGAGAACAAAGAGCAGGTGCTGCATTCTGCACGTTTCCATCACATGCACCATTTGGAAGTGTGGAGATTCCAAACCGCGCCCCTCTCCCCTCTCCCCCCTCCCCAAAAAACAAAGGTATGGATGGGAGGCGGTCTGTGACAGACTTTATTTGATGGTTATTATCATAATGTGCAGCTGCGGCTCTGTTCCACCGATGTGATTCCAGCCTGAGAGGATTTAAGTGAGGGATTATCTGTGGGTATTTTCTCCTTTTTTTACTGCCTGATATTAGTTATTTGTTGGGATTCTGAACACGTAGTACTGCAAAACCCATTTCCCTGCACACGCTGAACTTCAAGGTCAAACTCTTTCTTTCTTATCTGTAGGGATATTGTGTGTGTGATATTTCCATACGCCTGTCCAGATGTTGGGAGAAGGTTTTACATCATGCTGTACATGGTGACACACGTGTGTGTGTGAGAGAGTGTGTGTGATGCATGTCCCATGTTGTGTTTGAAGCCATTCATTCCTGATTGATTTCCTTTGTGTCCTGCAGTGAATCAGTAAAGTTTTCATCCCTGTTACAGATGAATGATCAAGAGTTTAATTAGCAGTTTGAATTAGTTTTGTTTAGTTTTTCTGTAAATGTCAGAAGCTGAAAATTACAGAAGTGTAGAAGCTGGTTCTCACACTGAAGACCTTTTAGTTTTGTTTTTTTATGTGACCACATGGGGTGAAAATGTGAAAATTGCTGTTATCATGTGAGGTCTAAACAGGAAGTCTAGAGTGCAGAGTCATTTCTCCTCTGAAGGAGGAACTCGCTTCTTAAAGTTATAACAACAACAACAGAACCAGATCAATGCACATTTATCTCTCTGCAGTGTTTACTCTCACCTTCAATACTTTTTATGAGCCATAACTTCATATACTGTCTGTTTCTATCGATGGTTTTCCTGCTTCATTTTGACTCTTGTGTGTTTTAGTGTTAGCTGCTCCAGGTGGAATATTCTATTCTTCTACTTCAGTTATGGTTTGACTTTTTCCACTCAAAACCACTGAAGTTGTTTTAATAAAAAAACTGACCATAACAATAATATTTTATACACAATACATGTACAACACACGTACTATAAAAGTAACTAGCTGCACCACGGCTTCAAGCTAAACTAGTTAGTTGTACAAAGTGGTGACTTCAAAAAGTCACCACTGAATAAAAAATAAAAACATGGCCTTGGCTGCAGGTGCAGTCTCTGCAGCCCAACACGTTCCAAATCCCACTCCGGTGGCAGCGGCTCGGTGCAGCGTTTTCAGAGCCATTGCAGCGGAATCGAACAATGTTGAGAATTTGACTTGTCTGCAGCTGATGAAGGCTGCGGACCGTGAGCAGAGACACAGCCGACGGCTGCAGGCAAGTGAGAGAGTGCATTCATGAGTGGCATTCATGAGTGGCATGCATCTGGCGCTCCATATGTGGCTGCCGACTCAGCTCTGAGCTGCAGGACGTCCTTGTATGAGTCCCAGGCTGAGCCCCATCAACCAGATACACACAATAGGCAAACATATAGTACCTCTGCAGCAACAAACACAGGTACGAGTGCTGCAGCAGCAGCAGCAGCAGCTGCAGTGGCAGCAAAATGTTAGGCAAAAGGAAAAGCTGATTTCAACAGCATCTGTCCACCGTTTAGGTAATGTCGCTCCCAAAAACCCAGCTGAGACTCTGTTGTGCTCATGTTTATCACGTGATTGGTTACAGGTTGTTACACATTTCACGCTTGCACTTCATTTATATACAACGGTTAAGTGAGAGCTCATTTGCTGAGCTGAGATTTTTACTGCAAAGTAAAGAACTTTACTAAGGCTGACAGCGATCGTAGAGAAAATTAGACTTTCGACACCAAAAAGCTGGACTACTGATTGCCTTAACAGCTAAACTACTTTCGACACCAAAAAGCTGGACTACTTATTGCCTTAACAGCTAAACTCAGGGACTTTTTTCACCCATGCAGATGAGTGACAGGCCCCTCTCAGCACACTCCTACGGCTTCCTGCCATGAACCAACTCCAACTATTCCTCATTCGCTGCAGCCAGCGTTTGGATCCCCGGTCCCTCAGTCAGGACATCATTCAGCTCCTTCACTGAGACACTTCAGTCACTTCTGTCTTCACAGTCTCTCTGTATCTCTGTTCTTCTGACAGAGGATTTGTGTCGTCTCTGATCTGCTGCCCCTGCAGCTTTGTATCAGCAGGTGACTGGTGTGTGAAACCTCATATCTCTGCATAATCTGATTATGCAGAATGAGAACGGGGAAAAAAAAAATCAGCCTCAGCTTCGGTATTTAAACACAGGACGATGATTAGGTGAGCGTCTCATTGTCGCAGCGTCAGGTAAACAATCACGCATAAAGACACACGGCGGCGCAACCAAACAGACAGCAGGGAAGATTGGATTGGATTTCTTATTAACAGGCCAATGACTGCTTCCCATCTCATTCTTATTTCACTGTCAACAGACACCACAGACACACACACACACACACAGTCTATCTTTCCATCTGTGCCATTGTTTCCATTTCCTAGCATTCTCATATTCTGTCCTTTTTTCCCATCCATCTCTGCCGTTTCATGTCTCCCTCACCAATCTCCTTGTGTCTGTTTTTCCACTTTTTAATGTGAGGGAGACAAATGGAAAAAGAAAATCACAGAGACACACAAATATAATCGTGCGTATGAAGGGAAAAGACGCCGCAGCAGAACAAGTCTATTTTCTTTCTCTGCCCGTCTCATAAATACAAACATCCTGTGTCACAGCAGCATCCCGCAATTTTATCTAGTTTTTTCCCCCCCTTTTTTCTTCATTGTCTAATATTTTATGAGTTTGTTTTCCACCACATAGTCTGTAAAAACACAGAATAATTTAAAAATTAATTCACTATTCTGACAAAACAACCTTTGAGTAGAATTAAAAATCCAGATAATTTTGTCCTCCGTTGGCCTCTGTTCAGAAGAACCATCTTCAACTGAAGCTCTGATTTCTCAGAGTTTCTCTCAGGTTTCGTCCTGTCGTTTTAATCACTCTAAACTGAAGGAATCCTGCAGACTGACCTTATCTGGAGGTAAAACCTCACAGATTTGCCTGCGATGGCAGTCTGTTCTCACATTACATTTTTATATTCCTCATAAACTGTGATCGGAACTTTTCAAGCTCAAGTCAGACCCCGGGGGAAACAGCTTTTGCAGAATGAAACGCTAGATCTGATGACAATTTGCACAAAAACCCAAAGGAAGATAAAGACAATTGGAGCGTAAATATATACCAGAGAGGACGGGTGGGATTTACAACATTAAAATGCCAGTCAGCGCGGACCACTCACTGAGGAAACACATTCCCGTTCAGGGTCTCATCAGTAATAAGACCAGCCGTTTCTTATTGGCGGCGATGCACAAGTAATGAGATGATCAGAAGCAGCTGGACGACTGGGACTGAACGACTGATGCTGTCTGACTGGGAGAAGCATGTCCTGGTTATTAAGTATCTGATGTCACCAAAAACCAAAACCACAAAATCCACCAAGACTTTGCAGCAGCGTTTGACTACGGACCACCATCATGTCCACGCCCCCTATGACACCCACACACTTGACTAAACTTTAACCTCTGTTAATCATGTTTTCTTTCTCCCCCTTTAGTCCATTTATCTTCCTCCCAGTCTCCCCCTCCTCCTCCTCCTCCTCCTCTCCGCCCGAGTTAGTCAGACATGCAGGAGACACGCGGTGCAATCAGACCTCTCACTTTAAAAAGAAAATTAAAAAAACTAGGAGAAGTATTTGGTATTTACCCTGTAACCAGAATATTAACTAGCTCGATATATTTTGTCTAGAGTTTCCAAGTCAATAATAATAATTATTATTATTTTTAGAATAATTAGAGTTAAGTCAATAATGGAGTTTCTCAGAGGCTTTAGGGATAATTACCTTTTAGTAGTAGCATTAATCTTCTCTGTTGTTTTTCTCGGTAAAAGTGCGAAAACTGATCAATAAAAAAACATTTATGAAGTAAATAACCTAAACCTCTATATTACAAAGACTAATAAAGAAAAAAAAGTTCATAAGAAAAGTATAATATATCTTTGTATGTTGTCTCACCTCCACCTGGGGGTGAATTTCAGGGGGAGTTTTTTCATCAGTCTGCCCTCGAACCATGTCGTCCTGTAGGACACAATCGCTTCAGTGTCGTTGCGGCGGTGCTCTGCCAACAAGATCATATTGAAAATCTATTTTTTTATGTACAGAAGATTTAAGAATATAGAAGCTACATGAGTGGATTTTATCTTAATTAAAATCTTAAACAGATTCAGGGATGCTTTTAGTCTCCCCGCCCCGGGATGACAGTGCCGTAAATAATGATCCCAGCTACGTTTTTTTTTTACTTTTAGAGGGAGAAGAAAAACTTTTTATGCATGAAAATTTTTCATATCAGGCTGCCTTGAACAGTTTATATTAAAAAAGAAAATCTCTTTCTAAGTCGGTGTTAGCTGCTTCCTTCACACGGTCGATCACTACTGTTACTGTCACATAAACCTCCTTCATGTTCGTTTTTACTACGATCATCAATCCTCAGTCGGACTTTCCTTCTTTTCTCCCTCCTGACAGTTAAATCTCTGACACTCCTGCTCCGTTATAACCAAACTAATCCATCTGAACTCCCTATTCTACAGCAGCTGCTTCAGTGTCTTCCTTTTTTTCTAATTTAGATTCAGAAGAAATGTCAGGAGCAGGTTAAAAAAAGGAGATCATTATTTGTTCAGAAACTAAATTACTTAAAAGATCAAATAAAACTTGAGAAATGAATTAGGACTTAGAAAGAGAGCGAGAGAAAAAGATGAAGTTAATGGTACAGATTAGATCAGAGGAGGATTAGAGGACAGGCCGAGGCCCCGGGGGTGGAGATGTGACAAAATTAAGGTGAGGGAATCAAACAGCTTGAAGGTGGAGTAAGTTAAGAGAGATGGAGAGAGGGATGAAGGAAGAGAAGCCTCTGTGAACAGTGTGGATGTTTTTGATCAGTAAGAGTTCAGTCAAAAGTGTGTGCGTATATATTTGAAAAAATAGAAAATGAAGCATTTAAGGTATATACATACATATATATACTGTATATAGATACACATTTGAAAAACTGGAGCGTTTAAATCCAAGCCAAAACAATAGAAGAAGAAAACAATTGGTACAAAGTAACGCTAGATCGGTCGGTGGAGTAGGAATCAAACAACTTTGTTAGCAACGGAGAGATCGATACTGAGATGAAAAAGGAACTAGAGAAAGACGCCAGGAAAGTAATCACAGTTTCCTTTAACCAGTGAGATCAGATCCAGATACAAAGAGGGAACATCAACAAAGTAATTACTCTCTGAAAGTAAAGCTCTGCTGCCAGAACAGGAGACATGAGCATCATTTTTTATTAAAGCGCTCACCGCCGCCATCTTCAAGGTCAATTATTAATTACACCTAATAGGATTCGGTTCAGCGTCTTGTTCGAGCTCTTCGTCCAAATACATACGCGGTGAAACGATGACTTGATGCACTCCTTGATAAGTCCCTTAAAATTACATTCTCATGATACCATGCATCTGAATATGAATATTAATGGACAGGCTTCTCATATTAGTGTGTCGTCTGGTAATCCTAAATTCAAGGAGCATCATTTTCTGTTTGAAACACGAACGCTGTTTTTTCTCTTCGCTGCTGCTTTGAATGTGGGCGCAGATTAAAGAGACTTTACATCTGAAATTAGTTTAATTAAATTGAATGCATATACCGTATAGACCGTCATTAAAGGTTTAATCTCACACTGCGCACGACGTCCAAAGCTGTCCCATCACAGCTCTATATGGTGGACGAGTTTACATACATGAGGCTAATTCAAAACGTTCTGAGACAGATGTAAATTATTATTTAAAAATGTATAAACTTTTTTTTCCGTCAAGTTGAGCTCAGTGGTTTTTCGACCCTCAACTCCGTTCATTCGTCTTGTCTCAGAGGTTTTTGTTTTAGGCTCACACAGACGTCTGCAGCCTTTAACCACTGAATAAAATGGATCAAGAGACGAGACAAAATGTAGGTCTTTTAAATCAATCATTAGTAGGTTTGTTATATGTGACTGTGTCTATTTAGAAACTGTGTGGCCCACATCCTGGAGGAGGAGCCCACCTTTATGACTCACATATGTTTGACCCTCCCTGCCAAGCCACAGGCTGAAGAGCAAAAACAACAAGACTCAAACCCATCATCTGACCAGAGATCGTCACATTGGTGAAGTCCATTTTCTCCACTGTCAGGACAGTTGACCCTTACTGCCTGTCAGATGTCCTCGTGGTTCACCACAAGAACCGAGGCTTGGCTTTAGTGCTAGCAGGTTGTAATTTCCTTGTCAATCGATACCTGTGATGAGAAGATGCTTCCCACAGAGACGTCCTCTGTCCTCTGTACCTCAGAGACTTACGTCAACACAGTCAGACTGGAACACGTCCCCTGATTATTCCACACAATAACAACAATAACACACCTAAAAGGACGGAGAGTTTAGGAAGAGATCCAGACTCAGAGTGTGCAGCCGTCTGCCTCGGATGGTTGGGAGTTAAAGGGACACAACAGAGGTGAGAGTCAAGAGGGGGGTTGGGAGTTAAAGGGAGACAACAGAGTCAAGAGGAAAGAAGAAACAGAGACGCTGAGAAACTTTACACTTTCAGAAACTGAATTCTGTTCGTCTACCACAACAGAGCAGCATCCGATGACGTCAAATCAGCACCACAACAAATTCACACTTTACCTCAAGTAAATCAACATGTCCTACTTTACACACATCCTCCACCAGCGCCACCGCTCAGATACCTGAGTGAATCAATCTTCTCCTCCTCATTTCATGGTGAATTGTTTCTTCTCCCCGTGGACTCTTTTGTGGTAAAAAGGTCAAACCTGGAGGTTGTACTTCTATAATGATAAAAGAGTGAACGTGTGGCCACACGAGTACAGCGGTGGTCACTATTGATCCGTATGTGCCGCAGCTTCTGCCGATGGAGAAGTAGACAACGTGAGGGCAATACATCACCGAGACTGGAGGCAACAAGATAATCTCAGTCCTTTAAATCAGGAAATAACAATAATGAAAAAAAAACTCATATTGTTTGTTTGTTTAATTTGTCTTTGATTACCTGGTATCACTTAAATGGACTCTAATATATTTCCAAATCATGGCCTGTCTCATTATCAGGTCCCTCTCAGGTCATTAAACCATAATTTCCCCACACGACTGTAAACTAAATAACGTCATAATAAATATTTGGCCGAAACACAGACGATTAAAAGCCCGCGGCTGAAGAATTAGATCGAATTATGAAGCAGCAATGAAGCAGCACCACAGGGAATTCCACGGACGTCGGGCAGTGGTGGCCTTAAATGTGTTCATTTAAGGCCAAGGTAATCAACTATCAATAAAAAAGACAATCAGAAAAATGACCGAACAAGTCGCAAAGGGAAAGAAAATCTGGAATAAATGAAAGAGAAGAGGTTTTATTGACAATTGTCATTTCATAATGTTGGTTTCTCAATTAATCATGATTAATTAGATTAATGATTAAAAAGGAATGATTGTGACTGTGATGAGTTTTGATCTCTATATACATAGATACTGTGTGTGTATATATATATATAAATAAACAAGTGTTCTAAGAGTTTTTGCTTAGAGCAGACACCACATCTCAGACTATTTCCGACCCAGAATTAAACCAGCATCCTTGCCCACTTAGTAAACAGACCTCGTTATTTACCCTGCTCTCTGGGCATTTTGTTACGTTCGATTTTCTTCAACTCATTATCAGCCAAATGGAGGAAACTATTTCCATGCCTCACCAGTCCAAATTCGGATAAGAAAAAAAAAACCTCTTCTGGTTCTCCGTGTCCATCCAAGAGTACCCTGCCATTTGAACCTGTCCAGAACCGCTCCCATGGAGGTCGTGCTTTAAGGCACTAATCCAAGCTCACACGACTGGTCTGACCTACTTAGGCCTTATCTACGGCCGAGCACAGACGCCCTACAAAGAAAACTAATTTCAGCCGCTGTGTCCACAATCTCCGTCTTAAGGTCAACGGGCAAAGATTGTGGCCACAGGTGAGGGTCAGAACAAAGACCGACTGTTGAAGGGAGAGATTTCCTTTGTTGCTCTCTCTCTCTCTGCTCATTCACCCTCTCCAACCATTGTTTCTCCATCAAAGCTTCTCTTCTACACCCAAAAATATCACCGTCAGACAGAACGCCGTTCATTAACACCGTTGGACTCATTCTGGATTCGTTTTTGAAGAAAATGACGTCAGCGCATGGGAGCACTGAGTCCATGTCAATGATGTATTTGTAGGTGAATAAGTCACACGACAGATATCGTCCAACAACAGGAGCAGCTGACAGGTTCATAACCAGTCATCGAGTTGGTTGGAGCTCCTAAACTCACCCACGTGGTGTTTCTAACTCAGTCTGACATTTGTTCTGTTAATCTTTTATCCCCCTCTTGCTTCAGTATCTCCTCCAACATCCCTCCTTCAGTGCATTTATCTTCATCTGCCTCTGTCCCTCTCCTCCATTGTCACTCCACCTTGACGGTCACTAATTCGTTCAGTCACTCTCTGAGTCCTTCTCACATGTACCAGTTTCCTGCTTCATTTCTAAAGTGTCACCAGTATAATGTGAACATGTCTCTCGATTGTCACTTTTATCTTTCGTGACCTTGTTTCTGACCTGGTCTCCTTCTTGTCCTTCTTTCCTTTTTTTTCCTTCCACCCAGCCAAGATGGCCATGTCCAGCATCCTCCACTCTGATGACATTAAGAAAGCAGTAGATGCATTCAAAGGTAAAGTTCTGGCAACAGACAAAACAAGGAAACGCGTGAAAGGACAAAGTCTTCAAAAATCAATACTGTATTAACAATGTCATAACCTGTAACTCACCAGGTAGAAGAATATGATTAGAGGAACGACGTGTTTTTGTCAGCAGTCTAGTAAACAGGCAAGATGGCTGCCCTCCACTCTTAGCTTAGCTGCTCAGTTTAACATTTGTGCCAATTTTATTATGCATTATACTTAATCATTTAAATGCACCACAACTTGATTGCTGCCTTTACCGATGTTTTCTTACAGAAAAATTCAACAAAATTCATTTTGACGACCTAGCTTAGCACCGGGGCTAAGCTAATCCTGCTAATTTCCTTTCCTTGTTTCCTTAAGGTTCTAACAGAACCGACCTGATACAATGTTTCTGCTCATGAGTATTTACATTACTGCACATGTTGCGTGTACAGCTGCCGACTCCTTTGACCACAAGAAGTTCTTTGAGATGGTGGGCCTGAAGACCAAACCGTTCGAGGATGTGAAGAAGGTCTTCACGGTGCTGGATGCCGACAACAGCGGCTTCATAGAGGAGGAGGAGCTTAAGTGAGTCAAACATGTGTCCATCATATTACTGGACACCAAACCAGTAGTGTAGTATTTGACACAAATACACTCTGTCTGTGACTAGATTCGTCCTGAAGGGTTTCGCCAAAGACGGCAGAAACCTAACAGACAAAGAAACCAAAGCGTTTTTAAAAGCAGCCGACAAGGATGGAGACGGGAAGATTGGAGTTGAAGGTAAACAGCAGCGTCAACACACAAATTGTTATGAATTGTATTTGTGGGTTTTCCATCACTAAGAGAATTCATTTGCATCATTAAGCTTGTAAAGAATAACGGCCATTATGATGGGAGTAACTCAGCAAACTGACTGTGAACAGTCAGGCCTGAGTAACTGCATTAAACTGCAGTTTTATCAACAGAGTGTGGGAAAATGAGTGAGGCAGTGATGGATGCTGTCTGACTTCTGTGAAACTGTAGTGCAGATCATTCATCAGGAGTAGAATTAGCAATTGTCTAAATCATAGTAAATAAAACAAATGGTGCGTCCTGTCGGCAGCAGCTGCGCTTCAGACTTCAACCGGGCGCTAACACTTCAACTGGCATTGTCACGGGGACAGAGAAGACTGAGAGGTGGGGGACAGCAGATCTGTCAGGGTCCAGAGGTCATGAAGGCAGTTTAAAGACCGGTTAAATTCATTTAGACTAAGATCTGAACCAAATATGCATCTTATGCAAAGTAGTAAAATAAAGCAGTAAATATGAAGAGCACATGGAAAAAACTCAATTTTAACAATCCGACAGATTCATCGTGGTCATCTGCGGTCATCTTAGAAGAGAAACAGTTATCATACGACCTGCAGCTAGGAGATCGGTCGTACACAACGGCTAAAAATCACGACACAACCTCTTCATTTCTTGCAGAATTCGCAGCCATGGTAAAGGAATAAATGACCACCCACTGTGACCAGTCACACTAGTCCAAGGTTTCCCTCACCCGGACCTGAACCTCACCCACCCCTGGACTCCCAGCCCCGTAGACTGAAGCCGCTCCCTGCTACACACGCTCGAAACAGACCCTAACCCTGCGACACCCTCACCCCCCACACCCCCACATTACCCTGAAATCTGCATTCATGGCATTAGTTTTACATTTTTATACAAACTGCTCATGTTTGTGTTTGCATAGAGATAAAAAAAAAAGAAATGCTGGCAAAAAATAAAGCTAACGTTTTAAAGAATTATGTAGTAAAAAAAAGAAAAGAAAATCAGAGTTATCTAAAGAAAGTCCTAGTCTGTCTCCTCCCCCGCTGAGTTCATGTCAGCTCTGCTCCCTATGACTCCCCCTGACTCCCCAAACATCACTGTGTTTCCACTCATCTCTCCCTTCATCTGTTCATCTTCCTCTCCTCTAATACTGAACTATTGTAAAACTCACCAAAAGAAGAAAAAAATCAAGCTGTGAAAGAACAAAATAAAACAGAAAAACAAAGCCTCAAGATTATTTCTGGACTCTGATTCTTGTGTTGGTTTTGATGAATTTCTCTCCTCTCCTCTCTTACTTCCTTCCTTTCTTCCTAAGGCATATTTTTCCACAGACATTAACTCCCTCCTCTCATTTCTAAGCAGCTCTGACTGTCTTGGCTGAAGAGTAAAATAAAACAAACATAACACTGTAACAAATCACTGAGGAGCCACTTCTTGTTACATTTTACCTGGCAGCCCATATTACATCATAAATCTAACACCACTCATCGCAGTAAAAGGATGGAAGAGGTCCCTTTATTCCATATATCTCCGTCTTTATCAGCGAACGCCGGGCCAGTTTAACAGTACCACAGTTCCAGGCCATTAGAGGAATTGGATTCACGCTGAGGTTTGATCTGGGTTAACAATCCCCCGGTGGAAAACCCCAGCAGAGAACATTGGAATCCTGATCTCGTTTAGTGGGACATTTTACTGCCTGGGCAAATAAACACAGATCGGAAGCCGGGAGGCGATCGGTTGCACAAGGAGAGAACAATTTAGCTCAGACGAGTGGTTCCCAACGGACTGTTGAGGACAGTAGGATTTATAAGAAAGACAAATGTTTAGCAGAGAGCCAGGATTTATGACAGGGCCGTGTCCTCTTTACCACTTGGCAGAGAAAAAGCTGCTCCTCACCAGCAATAAACATCCAACGTGATACAAAAAAAAGGCAATTTAATAAAAGTTGCACGACAGAGTGCCAGAGTTTTGATAGAAGTTATTTCATTGTTCCAAACACCAAAATCATTTTTTGGTTTATTGTGCTGGGAGATTCGTTATGTCACAGAGAAATCAAAGCTAAAAAAACTTAAATGTAACAATAATTAATGAACATCAATAGTTTCTATATATTTCAATATAGAAACCCCATCATCATATCACCAGGCTCACGTCTGCAGCTTTGACAAACCGACGTCAGGAAATGAAAGTTGCGATGATTTCTTGAATGTTTTTCCCCAATTTTTTTTTTTTTTTTGCTTTTATCTGTCTGTAAAATATGATATTTTCACAAAATATTACATCATCTCTCAGAGCTTATGTAATGTCTTCCCACAGTCTATTTTAAGAGAATTAGCCTCCTTATATATGATGCATAGCCTAATCACACACATTACAGTGGCAGTAGAAAAAAAAAGAAAAAAGAAATACCTTAATGGCACCCTGAGCAATAAAATAAAAAAAATCAAGCTGTGAAAGAACAAAATAAAACAGAAAAACAAAGCCTCAAGATTATTTCTGGACTCTGATTCTTGTGTTGGTTTTGATGAATTTCTCTCCTCTCCTCTCTTACTTCCTTCCTTTCTTCCTAAGGCATATTTTTCCACAGACATTAACTCCCTCCTCTCATTTCTAAGCAGCTCTGACTGTCTTGGCTGAAGAGTAAAATAAAACAAACATAACACTGTAACAAATCACTGAGGAGCCACTTCTTGTTACATTTTACCTGGCAGCCCATATTACATCATAAATCTAACACCACTCATCGCAGTAAAAGGATGGAAGAGGTCCCTTTATTCCATATATCTCCGTCTTTATCAGCGAACGCCGGGCCAGTTTAACAGTACCACAGTTCCAGGCCATTAGAGGAATTGGATTCACGCTGAGGTTTGATCTGGGTTAACAATCCCCCGGTGGAAAACCCCAGCAGAGAACATTGGAATCCTGATCTCGTTTAGTGGGACATTTTACTGCCTGGGCAAATAAACACAGATCGGAAGCCGGGAGGCGATCGGTTGCACAAGGAGAGAACAATTTAGCTCAGACGAGTGGTTCCCAACGGACTGTTGAGGACAGTAGGATTTATAAGAAAGACAAATGTTTAGCAGAGAGCCAGGATTTATGACAGGGCCGTGTCCTCTTTACCACTTGGCAGAGAAAAAGCTGCTCCTCACCAGCAATAAACATCCAACGTGATACAAAAAAAAGGCAATTTAATAAAAGTTGCACGACAGAGTGCCAGAGTTTTGATAGAAGTTATTTCATTGTTCCAAACACCAAAATCATTTTTTGGTTTATTGTGCTGGGAGATTCGTTATGTCACAGAGAAATCAAAGCTAAAAAAACTTAAATGTAACAATAATTAATGAACATCAATAGTTTCTATATATTTCAATATAGAAACCCCATCATCATATCACCAGGCTCACGTCTGCAGCTTTGACAAACCGACGTCAGGAAATGAAAGTTGCGATGATTTCTTGAATGTTTTTCCCCAATTTTTTTTTTTTTTTGTTTTTTTCTGTCTGTAAAATATGATATTTTCACAAAATATTACATCATCTCTCAGAGCTTATGTAATGTCTTCCCACAGTCTATTTTAAGAGAATTAGCCTCCTTATATATGATGCATAGCCTAATCACACACATTACAGTGGCAGTAGAAAAAAAAAGAAAAAAGAAATACCTTAATGGCACCCCGAGCAATAAAATATGTAAATTTACTAAAAGTAAAAAAATTTAAATGTTATTTAATTTAGCTACAGCACTAATTACTGACATCAGCTGTACACGATTAACACTAATGTATTTTAACAACTAGTTTCATTGGTTCAACGAAAACCTCAGGAATTAAATATTGAATTCCTCTCTGGGATGATCCGACTGTGTGCATACCCACACGTGCATGGCAGGTCAAAGGTTAAAACATCAGTTGCGATACACTTTTGGTGCTGATCGGTCATCAGTGTGGGTGGGCTTCAGTTTCACTGTGGCAAATGGGTTGGTGCCCCTTAAAAACAGAGGGGAAGGTGGGGGAGGGAGGGAGGAAACGTGTGTCAAAAGAAGAATAAAGAAGAATTGGCTCTGGTCCAAAGTGATGGAGAGGTTAAAGCGGGAGAAATGAGCTCTGCATCTCAAAGACTACAAGCATCATCAGGCCAACCGTTCACCTGAGGTGAGAGTGATGGAGAAACGGTTTCAGCGCTGAGTAGCTCTCCAGACTAATAGACAGGAAGTAATTCTCTGCTCAGATCACTGCCTTCGTCTGTGCTTCTCTCATCTGACGTCTCTCATGATATACTTCAGAAATACTATTACATTCACAGGTAGGGAAGGGGAGCATGAAAGTCTCCGTATTACCGGCAGACAGCCTGGATGTGTGTCCAGAGCTGAGCTGCAGTCACACACTCACCTGGGAAACAGCTCCGGGTGTGAGTGTCGAGGCTGAGGTCTCTGCAGAAGAAAATGAGGAACGTCAGTGTCAGTCAAAAGTACAAGCGGAAACATGAACACAGGGAGGCGCTGTCGTCTCCAACTAACAGCGTTGCTTACTGCAAACAGTGAGAGAAAGAAACTCATGAACACAGGGAGGCGCTGTCGTCTCAGTGAGAGAAAGAAAGAGTGCTGACAAAGTAAATCTGCGTCACAGAAACTGCAAAAAAAAGGTCAAAGGTGCAAACGATGCAAGAATTCCATGCAGATTCTTTTTGGCTGTACTTCAATTACGTATCAAATCGTGTTGTCTGTGATGATGTCGATCATTTTCTCAATCGATTTGAGTCAACTAATTGATTAATCGTTTCAACTGTGGCAATTCTACACCTGGAATATTTGTCCCTTTTCGCCGTGTGAACAACTTTAACTCCAGATTAGTCTGTTGTTACCGTCGACCGATTCTCCTCGTTGTGATGTGCTAGACATTTCTAGTAGAAAACAGAGCCAGACACTTGAGCCTACGGTGGATACTACTTCCACACCCCCACCCTTTAGTTCAGGGTTCACAAAAATTTAAATAACAAAAAACTTCACACAACAGACACGCTAACATTAGTCTATAAGAAAAAACACAACACTCCAAAAACACACACACACACATGCACACTCGGGTGTGTGTGTTTTACACCATCAGCAGCTGGAGCTCCCGCCCTGCATCCACCAGAAAGAAGGCTGTGGTGTCATAGAGAACAGCACCCTGTCACACTGCCCCTGCTGGACAAATGTGCAAATGCTGTCACATCATCAGCAGTGAATGCTGTGTATCGTTACTTCATCCACGTGGAGAAAACACAGAGAAGTGTCTGTTGTTGTAGTGTTTGAAGATGAAGGTCAACATAAGCAGAACATTTGCAGCACGCGGTCACGTCTCATCGATCAAGTGAGGATCGAGTTTCAGACCGACATTGATTTGATGAAGAGATGAACAGAGGAACGGAGACAGAGGTCAGTGATCACAAAGACAGACAGACTGTCGTACCTTGGGTTCTGGATTGGACTCAACCCTCCTGTCAGCAGTGGGCGGAGTAGAGTGTCTGTTTGAAGACATTGATGATGATGAGGATGATGGTGGAGGTGGAGGAGGAGGAGGCGGCGGCGGTGCAGCTCCGCTCGTGCTGCTCGTGCTGCTCATGCTGCTCATGCTGATGCTCCTGCTGTTGTTGTTGCTCCTGCTCTCGTAGTTGCTCCTGCTGTAGTTGTTGCTCCTGCTGTCGTTGTTGCTCCTGTTGTAGTTGCTTTCGAGTGAAGCGTTACTCAAGCTACGGTAAAAAGACAAAATGTTAGAGTTGCATAAAAAAACTATTTGGTTTCATCATCACTTTCACATCTTTTGTTTGTTATGTGAATCACCAAAATGTTAAACAAGTTAAATCTTTTTTTTAACCTGTTTGACCGGGGAGAAACTAAGGTTCAAATTTTGTTGACTAAAAAACATTGGCTGTTTTTCCCTTAACTGTGACGCGTGTCCACAGCGACACATCAGGCAGAGTTGTATCTGATAAAGCTTCTATTCCTCTCAGCGATGGGTCACCCAAATATCTCAACTAGATCATGTTATTAATCCAGACCTCTTTAAAAATAACAGAGATGACCCAGAGCAACAACTTCATGTGTTCTGCTGAGATTTGACAGGTGGAAATTCTGAAGTCGATTTATTTTCCAGTTCATCTACTCGCTCGTCCTCGGTCGTTGAAAAGTAGAGCAGAACTGATGCATCATTTACTGCAGCGTTTCCCAACATTATACAGCATATCATCAGGGCAAACCCCACAGCACAACAATGAACAAAAATCTAACAAAAAGTAAATATCATGAAATATAATAATATTCTAGTTTAAATTTACTAAAAAATGTATTCCTGTTTAGGTGACGACAACGCTAATATATTGACAGGAATTGAAGAAAGACACAAAGATCTTCTTCAACAGCGCTGATAATCTTTTCTTAGTTTTATTAACTATCTGCTGCCACCTAGAGGAAGAGGATTTCATTGCTCTTTAACAAACAAAGAAAAATTATTTGCAATAAATAAATACTAGTTTTGGGACAATGGATAATAGTGGTTGGGAATCACTGATTTACTGTACACTGTTGTACAGAGCTGTTTGGTTCACCATGCATTTCAATTGTATCTTTAGATTTTCCAGTAGTAAGAGGAGCAGGAAGTTACATCATTGGAAAGTCACAGTTTTATATGGACTGTATTTAATGTTTACCTGTAGCTGTTTGACTTTGGAAGATCATCCAGCAGTTCCACATAAGAGGCTGGAAACCATCCCTGACTGAGAGAGAAACAACTGATCCATCACAAGGCTGCACATATAAAGACCAGACCAGTGATTTTTTTTATTCAACTAAAAACCCTTCCACTGTGAAGCTCCAAAAAAACATGCACACAAACACAGCATTTGTGGATTCAGATTCAGATTAAAACATCTCTGACCGTGAGCTGCTGCCGGCTCGTCCAAACAGCCAGCCGTTCCTGGGCTGGTGCACCAGCACAGTAATAACCTCTCCCTTAGAGAATGGCAGTAGAGTGGGGTGAGAGGCAGAGGGCTGGTGGGCCACCAGGGCTTTAGCAGATCTGCCCCTCAGTGACTCTTCTGCAGAGTGAGAAATGCTCCCCACGGGAGACGGAGCTGAAGAGATGACAAAAACGGGGGGAAAAATATAATAAACCATGGCATGAATTAGAGAGAATATTCTACGGGTTCAATTCAACATTTATCCATCAAGACTGTGATGTTTCCCAAACACTGAATCAAAGTTTAATGTCTGTCTTTTTTTTGTTTTTAATTGATCCTCTCTTTATCTATTTTTACTGCAGATAAAACCAGTCTAATAAAAAGACTTTAGACTTTCACTCTCTAGATTCAAAAGAGAGGAGGAAGGAAAGTTCACAGAGAGAGAGAGAAAGAGGGAAGTAGATAAAAAGGAGTTTGAAAGAGAAAAGGCAGCTGCAGAATAACTGATGCAGGCAGCAGGAGCCGAGGGCTGTAAATGATTTTTTTAGACAAATGTGAATATTACAGCTAGACCTTTGTACTAAAGGGGAAGACGAGGCTAAAACAAAAATGTAAAAGATGTAAAGTTTAATAAGAGGCTTTTAACTCTCTGTGTGTTGGAGTTTTTCTTTTTCTTTTTTTTTTCCACTCACCCCTGGAAGGTATTTTGCCCAGTGGTATCTCCTCCCTCCTCGGTCTGATCTCCTCAACCTTTATCCCCATCTATAAAACCAACAACGCACAACACGCTTTACTGCACCTGCCCAGACAGCAGAAACCACAGCAGTAATTCAAATCTTCATGAAAAACTGACGACATCTGAGAAACAGGTTATTCTTATTTGCTATGAAAATAAAGAAATAGTCACATGATTGTGTAAAAAATATAAAATGTATTTATTATTATAATTAACCAGACCTGATATATTATAATTATTTTTCCTTTTGTTCTCCCAAAACACATTTTCATTCTTACTGCTAAGCTTCTAATTTTTTGCTTGTCCTAATCTTCTTAACCACACTCATTTCATGATTGATATATATATATATATATATATATATATATTATAATATTGCCATTAACGTGAGATAAGAACACAAAATCATTATATTTAATTGAGCAGTTTAACGGCGGTGACTAACTGGCTAATCTGTGCACAAACACAGGTGTAGAATGTGTCAAATACAGAATACATTCTCATGTAAATATATGCCACAGCACATTCACAGCTATTTTTTGACACTTGAACAGACGAGGAAGAATCCCACATTATTCCAAAGCTAACACACGGAATCCATGTTAATCCTCTGTCTGTTGTGGGATTGGTTTAGTTTATTGGCAACTTTCAGTCCAGTAAGGAAGGGAACGGGCCGTGACTGAAGGGGCTTATCTCAGAAACGTCTGTGCTGTGTGATTACGTGGTAATATCATCGTCCACAGGACGGACTGTTTAGTTTTGGTTGGTGTGTCGTAGCTGACGTTAATCCCGTCATCCTGAGATAAAGACATGAGTGTGAAATCACTCAGTGTGAAGTTCAAAGTCAGGTAATTATCATGTGCCTGATAAACTGGCTCTGTTTTGTATGTGAGGCAGGTTTATTTTCTACCATGTTTATATTATTTATTTAAAAAAAAACATTTATTTGTACTTGTTTTTTTTTTTAAATAGGAAAGTGCGTCATAATAAAGGTTTGTTTTCCCATGAGGTGAAAAGTACTGTATGATCCACTAGAGGGCAGCCAAGTAACAGCAGTAAGATACTGGATTGAACCCAACAACACACCTCGCTCTAAAGTAAAGGAGTGAAAAAGCCATTTATCACCAAGACATTTAATCATTATAATCTCAATTACCATATATTTTCTGCTGAATGTTTTTCTAATTGATTAAAAATATATACAGTATATATATATCTTTTTTTTATTTAATCAAAAACTCATCATGGTCTTATTTCCATTTTTGATTTATCAATATTTTTCTAGCCTGTAAGACGCGACACACGCCTGAACCATGAACTCACCGAGTTTCCCACAGGACTCAGTTGTCCCACTGATGGTTGTCTGGTGACGTTGACCTCTTCAGACCACATGCCAGCCCTCTGCTGGAGATTTGGACCCATCTGCCACGCAGGACACACACACAAAAAAAGAACACATAAGGGTTGTTACGATTGGGATGACGACATCCTCAGCAGATTATTTGTAAGTTATTAAAAAAACAAAAAAAAAAAAGAACACATCAGCGTTGTTACAATTGGGATGACATCATCCTCGGCAAATTATTTGTAAGTTATTAAAAAATTACTAAACATACACTTGTGTGTACACTACAAGTACAGGAACGGGTACTAAACCGTTGAAATGTGCAGGTTTTATTGATTGAAGGATGTATTTATTTACAGTCATCACTGTGACAGGTATGTTCACCACTGGATCTCCTCTCCTAGTGGTTGGACACGACGCGGGTGTTTGAATAACCAACACAGTGTACAAGTCTCATCTTAAGGTAGTTCACCTTGGTCATCAATATGGCGACAGACTGCATCAGTCCACAGTGCTTCTCAGCCAGGAAGCGGTATCTCCGCTCCTCCTCCTCCACAGCCTCTGCATTGCTCTCCTTCAGGAATTGTAAATAGTCACCATCCTGAGGAAACACACACACACGCACGCACAGAAACACATAAATACACGTTTCAAAATGGGGACAGAATTAGAAATACTACCATTATTATGTGCCACTGATTTGTGAATACATCGTTACAGTGTAGTATAACTGTGGTATCAGTTTTAAGATGATGAAAAAAGAGACATTCATAAAACATCAGCATAAACAGGTGAGGAACCTCAGACCTGGTTGTATCCTCTCCTCATGTGTCTCTCCTGCGCTGCTGCTGCTGCTCTGTTGTGGACCTCAGTCTCATAGTAGTTCCTGCTGTCCTGAAAAACAAAGGCTCTTTATTAGGGATTTGTCGGAAAAGCCCTGTGATACAATATTAATGACTTAATCATCAAAAACCAGAGCTGTCAAATGGTTGAAATCTGTAATAAATAATATTCATCACAGGGTTAGAGATGAACTACAATCGTGGGGGTTTTTTTCACACTTGTGTTTATTCATGACTAAACTAATAATTATCAATATGCAAAATGTTCAAAAAAAATCTTTGACTCAAAATTTTGTTTAATACCACAAATCTTAATTAATACTTAATACTTTAATACCACCTCTACTATAAATAACGAACATCCCAAAGTGTCTTAATCCGCTGGACGCCGCTCAGCTTTTCTGCAATCTGTGAGGTTATTATAGTCCATAATTTAAAAAATAAAATCATAGGTTTTAGGGCTAAACTTTGGTTAAACTCTGCAAAGTCGGCTTCATGACGCTGTGGGCGAGGCCCAGCATTTTCTGATAAAATTGTACAGTCTTTGGAAAACCTGTGACAGGATGACATTTATTAAAGATTATGGAGAATCACCTACTGTCCTGCGACAGTCTGATCGTCATCTGAGTAATTTCACAAAAAATAAATGAAATTATTCCAGCAAATATAAAATAACCCCACAACTCACTATTAAATAATTCCTGTCCAGTTGACTGTTCTTCTCCATCATCCTCACGACCTCCATGTTGAATCTCCGAAACTGAAAGGAGACACAGAGAGTGTAAGATTCCTACTGCAGAGCTGCTGTGGACAGAACGTCAGGTGGAAACTCTTACCACTCCATCCAACTCCAACATCAGTCTCTTGTGATTCTCAGAGAGCTGAAGCAGGACGTCTCCTTTAGGACGGACGCAGAGAAAAAAAAAACAGACTTTGTAAAGAAGCAGGAGAATAATATTGTAGAACTGAAGAACATTTGCATCCATGTTTGTTGACAGCGGTCACCAACTATATTTATCAGAGGGCGGGCTTTCTGGACAGACACCTCGGGGGCCGGACACTCAAATAAAAATGAAATAAAAGTCCCATTTTTGTTTGATGTTATTATTTTGGAATCGGTTCATTTTGGAATCGGCCAAATTGGACGGTCTCCAGGCCGGATTTGGCCAGTGGGCCACCGGTTGATGATTAATGATCTATGATGTAATTACTGTGACCTTTGCAGGTTGTGAAGTGTTGGTAATATAATCACAGCTGACAGTGTGGATTCTGTTTTCTCCTCTTCAGCTCATAGTGATCTCTCTTCTTTACTGAGGTGTAGCTGAAATTATTGGAACAAAGACGATGTTTTCTATTGGTCAGTCTCAGACTGGACTTGACCAGTCTGTGAATACTGATGTGACAAAACCCACGACTTTCTGCCCTTTGCCTGATCTTCTGACATTCATTTTTTTTAAACATTTCTATCAGTTTTAAAGGCATTTTTCACACATTTTTGGTGTTTTCTGGGACACACTGAGAAGTCGTGTACGCGGCCTCAGCCTGTAATCTAACGATCCGGTTGGGACAAACATCTTTAGCTGTAGCCGCTAATCCTGACAATATCGTTTCCCAGTGGCTGGGTTAAGTGAGCAGAGCACAACCCACTGCCTGTCGTCATCACTTATTCATCCTCCCTGCTCTGCTCCGCTGGCATCTGACACACACTGTGTCAAAACACTGCCAGAACTCACACCACAACCGTCGGCCCTTCAGCAGTTCCAGTATAATAACATGCTAAAGTCCAAGGGCAAAAGTCATTTTTGGACACATGTCCCTTATATAACAAGAGTAATTAAGCGTTGTGTGAATTAAATAATAAATTAGTGAATGAATGACCACAAAACACACAGGTTAGTTCATGACTCAGAAACAGAATGTGTGTTCACCAACCTAAGGAGCGTGAGGATGTGGTGTGGTAGGCCTTCTGTCCAATCGCTGACAGCAAACTGAAATAGGCGTCACCTGTTACACTCAGAGCTGGAAAACACAAAAACACAACACATGGATTTTGAAAAAAAAAAAACTCTGGAAAATCTGTTTTTGAAAAAAATTAATTAAATTAATTCTAATTTGGAACAGCACGACATAAATTTGCTAGAATGCAAAAAAAAATCTAGAAAACAGGATATGAGGTCAAGTGAAATGGTTCTACGACTGCCTGGATAATATCTATTAAGGGTCAAGGGTCAACATGTAATTTCATTACATTTTTCAAACTTCAAAAAATAACAACTGACTTTTTCTGATAGTTCATATATTTTTTTTTTCTGTGAAGTAACCTAATTTCAGTCCTATCACCTGGTGTGAAATAGAATTTCTTTAATAGTTTGTCCTGGAACTTTTTGACCCACAAACATATACATCACCACCATCATTGATAAAACAAGATCCACCAAGAACAAGAACATTTAAATCTCGGTCTGACTCCATCATAGTCAGTACCGTGTCCTGGCTGTGTGTGGATTGTTGTCATTATTCGTCTATTGATGGTTTAGACTGAACCTAAAGAACCATGGGTCACTGCACTGGTGTCTGTGATGGTTTGTTTTGAAGGTGATGACGGTTGGTTACGGGCTGGTTATAAACAGCACCAGGATATTCCTGCAGCACATGGACTTTGGAACGAAATTCAACGCAATAGCAGCCTGACAGTTTCCATATTCTGAGCAAAGTCAATGATGTTTGTTTAGTTTATAACTCTGATAAGGACAGACGTTTGACTTTAACATCCCAAACAAGATAAATCCGACTTTCTGATGTTTTTTTAACCTTAATATTTTCTCTCTTTCTTTTATTCCCCCCGCCTTTTCCCCCTGTTTCTCTCCTTCTCACCTCCTATTTTCCTTACCCTTGAAAGCTTGGAGATGTTGGTCTCCAAGTGAAACCAGTTTCAGCACGCTCTGGTTGAAATCATCTATCAGGTGCTGTGTGGAAATGGAAAAAGAACACGAAGAGTTTTAACAATCAGTCAAATTTAATGAACAATGATGTCACATTTTGAGTCCGAAAAATTTATTTTACTTCTTAGGACCCCTCCCCACCCACCCCAAATACACACACACACACACATAAAAACACACATATACAAAAGAAAAAAAAAGACATAGA